AGAACAAAAACATAATCATTATGATGTCTCTGAAAAACAAAACACTCTTAGCCTGAGAACTCTTTAGCTTGTTTCACTCTGGTTGTAAAGATAAGTGACAGCAAATAACCTGAATCTAAATTTGGAAGCAAGTTGCCTAAAATATGAATTCCTACAGAATAACCACAGAACAAACACACTATTTAAAATGTCGTGGTCTAAGAAGAGAGGCAAAATAGTATTGCCTCAAAATGGCATGGTGAAAAGCATGGTAGTACTGTAACTCAGGTTTCTTTATGTGGATGTGCGGTCAGCAGCACCCTGGAGATGCCAAGATCCTTTCAATGGGTCTGTGAGGTCAAAATTATTTTCATAATAATATTTTTAAAAATATATTGTTTGCCATTTTTTACTGTGTTGACATTTTCATTGATGGTATAAAAGCAATGGTATGTAAAACTGCTAGTGCCTTGATACAAATCAAAGGAGTAGAATAAAACTGTACAAAGCAGTCATCGTCTTCTTACCACAAGATACTTACGGGGGAAAAAAGCCTGTTTCACCTAATAATATCTTTGATGAAGAAGTAAAAGTAATTTATTAGGTTTTAGTCCTTGAATGCAAGTGTTTTTTTTTAAAACAAAAATTCCATGTGATGAAATGAGAAGCACACATAAAGCACTTCTGCAGCACTTGGAAAGATAATGGAAACCAAGAGGAAAATTACTTTTGTCATTGCTTGAGCCAAATTGTTAAATAGCCACTTTTCTCATGGAATACTGTTGTGTGCCCAAAAGAATGACAGACATAAAAATTATGGTTACTCAGACTTGGATATCTAGCAGACATTTTCCTGAAAATTAATAAAGTTTCATACTGTCATTTCAGCTGACAGTATCAATTGCCAATAATATCAAGCTTTCAAGTGAAAATTAGAATTTTGAAAAATTTGTATCCACTTTTGTGAGTGTGACAGAGTTCCAATTCTTAAAAACCATTGTAATGACATCACATTGATATTAATAAGTGTGATGTTTTGATACTGTATAATAAAAATGTGTTATCACTTGTAAGGTATACATAACTCAATAAACCAATATTTTCCAAATGACTAACATGCTATGTTGTAAAATTATGCATACTTAAAACTCTATTCAGCTTCCAAGATATACGTGGAGATTATTCTAACAGAGTAAGAAATGTTCACTAATATGTTTTCAGATTCTAAACTTCGGCTAACTGTTAGTAAACTAATATTAGTTGAGTTTTGGTGATGTCTCAAAGAAGAACATCCACATTTACTGAAAAGGCTTTCTAAATACTCCTCCTTATTTCAACTATATTATCCATGTGAGGCCATATTTTCTTCATACATTTTAACCAGAACAAAATAACGCAACATATTGAGTGTAGAATCAGATATGAGAATACAGTCATCTTCTATTAAACAGGTATGAAAAATATTTACAAAAATGTAAAACATGCTACTCTCACTTTTTTGTTTTGAAATAATAGTTATTTTCACACAAAAAATGTTATATACTTCAATATGTATTGGATTTATTGGTCATATTTTAAAATAAATTGATAAATATTTAAAATTTCATCAGTTTTAATTACTAATATGACAAATATGGATACATATAATTTACATTAACCAAGGCTCTTTTGGGTGCTCAATAATTCATAAGACTACAAAGGAGTTCCAAGACCAAAAAGTTTGGGGGCCACTGCTTTGAACCACAGAATGCTAAGGAAGAGGACTGAAAATGGAGGCTAAGATACCGACAACTCCCCACTTTGATATGATTTTAATTCTGAGCAACCAAGACTAATTGTGGAAAGAAAGCTGATAGTTTTAGGCCAGATACAGGACAATTTATCTCTACTCACTAGGATCTAAGGACCCCACCACATATTCATCCAAATGGGACTTCTTTTGCAGAAAACCATTTGATTCTATTATACGTGTTACAAAGTTAACTCATAATGGCTTTAGTTGAGAAGGAAAAAAAACAAAACCTGTGTTAGTACAATAATGGTAAGGCACCATGGGGAAGGTGTTAAAGGTAAGGGTGTTCTCTTTTCTACAAACTAAGTACATAAGGGCTGGGGTATGCCCCAATGATGGAAGCATTAGAACTCACCTGCAAGAAGAAATACCATGGCTTGGGTACACCATACTTTCCTGGAAAGACAGAATCTACATACCAGGCGACAAGGCCATACAAGAAAGCATCAATTAAAAACATTCCCATAATATGGGCAAAAGTTAAGTTATCATCTGGGCTCACTGGTGAAAAGAGATTATTCCACCGAACACCATACCCTGAAATGTAATAGGAGACAGGTTACTTCAGATGCCCAGCTGTGACTAGAACAAAGTTACCCAGCTGCTTCATAATTAAACAATGGATGAGAAAAATGCACTGATATTCTCTGAAGACAGGTACTGTCAATCTGCTATCTGCTAATACCTTTAAATTTAAGTTGTCTAAGATAAAATTGAAGTTAATAATGATGTAAGGTGCCTCTTTCCATAGACAACCCCAACTAAAAGTTAGTAGTGACAAACAATCACACATAGTCCACATCTTAAAGCAGTAAACAGATATATAGGCTGTGATGGCAACCCTCCCCCTCCATTCTCTCTCATGATAATCTTCATTCAAATAGCCAGGGAAAGATATAAATTTTGAGATATATTCATCAACAACAAAAACGAGGTTTAACTTCTGGTTTCTAAGCCAGCATGGAAGTAGCTTAGTAGTCACCACTCCATCCTAACAAGTAGAAAAGCTGAACAAACTGAAAAATCAACAGTTCTTAGAATCATTAGAGAAGTAAGGTTACACCACAGACCATCTGCCCCAGAAATGGAAAGGCAGATGGGCAGACACACAGAATCACAATTTACTGGAGCAGAAATCACTGAGTAGAAACCTTGAGGGAACTAGCACTAGAGCAGGAGAATCTGAGCTGTATGACACATTTCCAGAGGCTCAGTGTGAACAAATATTGAGGCTTTAAAATGCTATGGGGACCGAGTCACGTAAAATTTATGAATTTTATCTCCAGGAGCCCTATCAACTTCTTAAAATGTGAATATCAGAGAAAAAAAATTCTTCTGGCAAGGGGTAGGGAAAAAGAAACTGTTTTGATATATATCAGAGAATTCCATTCTTCTTAAGTAGTCTTTCCCTGAGAGAAACTATTTTCTCAGAGCCTAACATTCTGGGGTTTTATCAGAGTCTAACCTACCCGGAGGAAGGGAAATACTTTCAGCCCCTTCTAGCCAGCCCATCACACATAAGAGAGGGGAAAAAAAACTGAAAAGCACTGATGAAGTTCGTAGTCCATGGGTGTAGGCTCACCAAAAGTCTAAGACCTAATCATAGGACTATATGATGCTTTCCCTCCCTCTAGACTTTGCTACTGCATTACCCAAAAACATATTTACTGCAGTTCCTCCTAGCTAGTGTATCATGCCCATCCTTTAACAAAAAAATTCAGGGCATACCAAAAGGCAAAAAAACACAGTTTGAAGACATTGAACAACTATCAAAAAGAATCAGATATGGCAGGAATATTGAAATCATCAGACCAAGAATTTTTAAAAATTAAGAATAGAGCAAGATGGCAAACTAAGAGGTCCCAGCATGCATCCATCAACAAAATCAACAATTTAACAACCACCCACCAGAAAACAGCTTGTGTAGACCGTGAGTGTATAATGAAGAGGTTGCAGTAAACCAGTAGAGCACACATACTTAGTACGAAAGCATAGAAAAGCACAGGAAGCATCTTGCCTGCATCAGCCCAACCAAGAACACTCCGGTGACAAAGGGATATTCCTCAGCTACAACCTCCTTCCACTGGCAAAAAGGAGAGTAGGAAGACCCAGCAGTCTTCATCACCAAGGAGCACAATAGCTTTCACTGCCACAGTAGACACCTGAAGCTTTTGCCTCTGAGGGCAGGGCTCCCACAATCTTCACTCATACTGGCTGAAGCTGACAGAGCTACACATGCTGCTGAACCCCCGTGCAGCTGGAGCAGCCAATATCCCCTATCCCCAGGGCTTAACCCCCTGTACCCCTCACCACTCCAGGACTACTGTGCACACTTGTGATGCAGAACCAACTGGCCCTTAGCTCATGCCTATACCCCAGACCCTGGTGCTGCCACAAGCATGCTCATGCCCCAGACTCAACTGTGACAGCTGCTGCGTGTGCACCCCTGCCCCGACCCCAGCACCACTCTACTTGAACCTATGCCCCAAACTCTGGTGTCACCACATGTGTGTCAGTCCCTAGACTCTAATACTGCCCCTACTGCATACATGTCTACCTGCACCCTAGATTCTGGCATTTCCACCCACTGTGCACACACCTGTGACCTGGACTATGGTGCCAAAAGAGATCTCAGCACAGCATACCTCCATAGGGGAAAAGGAGGACAGTAAGAACATAGCAGCATTTGCTGCTAAGGACCCCAGTAGCTATTGATGGCATGACAAACACCTGCAGCCTTAGCCATTCAGAACCCATGAAGTCTATCCCAATGCTTGCCTCTAATGATAGAGCTGCTTAGAGTCCAAGCCCCTGCCCTCCCATAAAGTCAGAGCCACTGCTGTACCCACCCAGTTGGTGCCCTCACGAACAGCCATAAGTGAAGGTCCCTCCCCACTGAAGCCAGTTTGTAAGGCCTAAAAGAGGCAACTACTTCTTTGAAGGCACAGACAGGCATCAATGCAGGATTACAAGGGACATAAAAAATCAAGAAAACATGACACAAAAAAGGGAATACAATAATTTTCTAGACACTAAACCCAAAGAAATGGAGATCTATGAAATCCCTGACAGAATTTAAAAATTGTTTTAAAGAAGCTCAGAGAGCTATAAGAGAACACAGATAGACAAATGGATGATATCAAGAAAACAAAACATGAACAAATAAGAAGTTCAAGAGAAAGATAAAAATTATAAAAAGAACCAAACAGAAACTCTAGAGCTAAAGTCCAATGGGATAGAATAGAAAACCCAGAAATAAATCCACAAATTTATGGTCAATTGATTTCAGACACACAATGGCAAAAGGCTAGATTCTTCAATAAATAGTGCAGAGAATATGGATATCTACATGCAGATGAAATTAGACCCTAATCTCATACCATATGCACAAATCAATTCAAAATGGGTTAAATATTTAAATGTAAGACCTGAAACTATAAAATTTAGAAGAAAAGAATAGGGGTAAAACTCCATGATATTAGTCAGGACAATTTTGTTTTTAATTTGGCACTAAAATCACAGGTAATAAAGCAAAAAAGACAAATGAGATCACATTTTTAAAAAAGTTTTGGACAACAAAGTTAACAATCAAGAAAGTGGAATATGAGAAAATATTTTTAAGCCATGTATGTAAGGGGCTAATATGCAAAATATGTTAAGAGGTGAAACAGCTTGATAGCAAAACAATAAATAATCCAATTAGAAATGAGCAAAGGACCTGAATAGAAAATTCTCAAAGAAGACATACAAAGGGCCAGTATGTATATAAAATAAAGTTTACCATCAGGAAAATGCAAATTAAAACCACAATGAGATATCACCTCACACCTGCTAGAATGGCTAATATCAAAAAGATAAAAAGTGTTGGTAAGGATGTGGAGAAGATGGAACCCTTGCACACTACACTGTTGGTGGGAATGTAACTTAGTACAGGCATTAAAGCCAACAGTATGAAGATTCCTCAAAATATTAAAAATATAACTACCTTATCCAGCAATCTCACTACAAGATACATGTCCCAAGTAAATGAAAACCGTATGTTGAAGAGATACCTGGACTTTCATAGTCATTGCAGCATGATCTATAATATAAAGATATAAAGTCAATTAAGTGTAAGTGGATGAATAGATAAAGTAAATGTGGTATGTATACACAATGAATACTATTCAATCTTTAAACAAACAAGGAAATCCTGTCATTTGTGATAACATGGATGAACCTAGAGGACATTATGTTCAGTGAGATAAGCCAAACACAAAAAGAAAAATGCTACATTGTCATACTTACATGCAGAATCTAAAAAATTTGAACTCAAAGAAGCAGAGAATAATGGTGGTTACCAGGGGCTGGTGGGGAGAGTTGAAGATACGTTCATCAGGGGATACAAAATTTCTGTTAGTTTCTATTCATGTCATTTGCCCACTTTTTAATGAGGTTGTTTGATTTTTGTTGATGATTTTCCTGAGTTCTATATAGATTCTAGTTATCAGCCCTTTATCAGATGTATAGCATGCGAATATTTTCTCCCATTCTGTAGGTTGTTTGCTCTTGTGATAGTTTCCTTGGCTGTGCAGAAACTTTTTAATTTGATCAGGTCCCATTTATTTATTTTTGTTGTTGCTATGATTGCCTTTGGGATCAACACTTATGTGTACATACAGAAGTAACATTCATCGTGTGTCAGGCAGGTTGGAGGGGGGAGGAGGAGATAGGTATATTAACACCTAATGGGTGCAGTGCAAACAGTCTAGGGGGATGAACATGCTTGAAGCTCTGACTTGAGTGGGGCAAAGGCAATATATGCAACCTAAACATTTGTACCCCTGTAACATGCTGAAAAAAAAATTCAGTTAGACAGGAGGAATCCTGTCTAGAATACTACTCCAAGAAGTATACTATACAATATGGTGACTATAGTTAATAACAGTATATTGTATATACTTGAAAATTTCTGAGAGTAGATTTTGAGTGTTCTCACCACAAAGAGTAAGTATATGAGCTAATGCATATGTTAGTTTGCTTTCTTAAGCCATTCCACAATGTATACAGCAGCCCCCCTTATCCACAGGGGATATATTCCAGGACTCCAAGTGGATGCCTGTAATCATGGGTAGTACTGAACCCTATGTACTATGTTTTTTCCTAAATATCTATGACAAAGTTTAATTTACAAATTAGGTACAGTAAGAGATTAACAATAATAACTAATAATAAAATAATTATAACAATATTCTGTAAAAAAGTATATGTATGTGGTCTCTCTCTCTCTCAAAATATCCTATATACAATAGGCTGTTTTGTACTATACTCACCCTTATTCTTCTCATGATGATATGAGATGATACAATGCTTATGTGATGAGATGAATTGAGGTGAATGACATAGGCATTATGATGTAGCATTAGGCTACTATTAACCTTCTGACAATACATCAGATGAGACAGCTACTAAATGAGATAGGCAGGTAGCATATATAACATGGATACTCTGGACAAAGAAATGATTCATGTCCTGGGATGGGATGGAGCAGGACAATGTAAGATTTCATCATGGTACTCAGAGTGGCATGTAACATAAAACTCACACATTATTTATTTCTGGAGTTTTCCATTTAATATTTTCAGACCACAGTTGACCAGAGATAACTGAAACCATGAAAAGCAAAAACATGGATGAGGGGATACTACTGTACATATTACAATACATCATGTTGTATGCCCTAAATATATATAATACTTATTTGCCAACTTAAAAAATAAATGATTTTTAAGATAGACACTGAATAAAATTTAAAAATGCAATAAATGCAACAGCAGGCTTGACTCAGCAGCAGAGTCTGTGAATTCAAAGACATGTCATTTGAAATTATTCAGTCAGAGGAGAAAAAGGAAAAAAAATGAAAATGAGTGAAGAAAGACTACAGGATTTACGAGACATCATCTAGTAAACTAATATATGCATTACAAAGGAGAAAAGAATAACAGGTAGAATTTTATTGAAAGAAATAATGGCTGAAATTTTTTAAATCTTGGGAGGGAAATGGATATTCAGATTCATGAAGCTGAAAGAACACCCCCAAAGAACCAATTTATCAAGATAACATGACAATTACAAATGTCTATGTACCCAATATGCATTAGGAGCACCTAAATACATAATAAAATTATTACCAGATCTGAAAGGAGGAATAGACACCAGCACAAAAATAGTAGGGGATTTCAATATCTAATTTTCAATAATGGTTAGCTCATCCAGACAGAAAAATCAATAATGAAACACCAGATTTGAAAGCTCCCACAAAAATGATAACTATGTGAGGTAATACATATATTAACTAACTAGGTTTAACCATTCTACCATGGTTAAAACATTTGTGTTGTACACAGTGAATACATAAAATTTTATTTCTCAATTTAAAACAATAACAAATTTAATTTTAAAAAATAATTACAAGCAAGTATCATACCCAGTATATTTTTTGTTCACAGGGGTATGGATTAGCAATTCTGTAACTACTTTCTTAGTATTATAAAACTGAGCAAATGAATAAAGAAATATAAATGATAATGGGGGGAGCCAGGTATCTCGTGGTTGGAAAAGGAGATGAAAATATGGAATGAGGGAGAGCTAGGAAGAAACTTTTTTGTTGGATTGGAATTAAGTGTAACAGAATGAACTCACAGATTTTTTTTTTTTTTTGAGACAGAGTCTCACTTTGTTGCCCAGGCTAGAGTGAGTGCCGTGGCATCAGCCTAGCTCACAGCAACCTCAATCTCCTGGGCTCAAGCGATCCTTCTGCTTCAGCCTCCCGAGTAGCTGGGACTACAGGCATGCGCCACCATGCCCGGCTAATTTTTTCTATATATATATTTTTTAGTTGGTCAATTAATTTATTTCTATTTTTGGTAGAGACGGGGTCTTGCTCTTGCTCAGGCTGGTTTCGAACTCCTGACCTCGAGCAATCCACCCACCTTGGCCTCCCAGAGTGCTAGGATTACAGGTGTGAGCCACCACACCCGGCCTCACAGATTTTAATATATGGACATTGACCAGGGTCTGTCAACCTCAGCCCTATTAACATTTGGAGCTGGATAATTCTATGTTGTGGGGACTCTCCTGTACTTTGTAGAATATTTAATAGCATTTGTGGCCTCTACCCACAATAGGTAGCACTCTTTAGTCATGACAATCAAAGACCAAAAATATCTCCAGACATGGCTATTGTACTCTGGGTGGCAAAATTGACCCCCAGATGAGACCACTATTATAGATAAAATTTGAACATACATATGCCTACAAATATATAATTTTATATATAATATAAACATTTATTTACTTACATTTCCATATTTATATATATATTTGCATGCATAAATGTATGTATATTTATATTCAGTATACATATATAACTTCTGTGATAAACAGTATAGTCCTAGTACTATATCTAAGAAACACTAAAATCACCCCTCACTAACTACCCTACCCCAACACCACTTCACCTGTCTTTTCTTATTGGGAATAAAATCATCAAAGGCATTTTTACAAAGGAAAGACTCACCCTTCATTTCCATCTTGATTAGTAAATCAATCCCCATACGTAAAGCAGTATTTAAAAAGAGACAAGGAAAGAGCTTCTTCCTGAGGCTCATCGCATGTATGTATTCTCCACTGATGATCACATATGGCAAGTTGAGAAAATAGAGGAAACCGCCAAAAGCAACAGCAAAAGCAGCTGAAAAGTAAGAAGGAAAATGCAGAGTCAGTTTACAAAAGCTGCAAATGCTTCAAATAAAAATACCCTCATTTTATTACGTATTAGTAGTACAATTTATAGAGTGTAAACTAAAAAAGAGGGGAAATTATTTTCTTCCCCACTTTATCACTAGCTAGTAGCACAGTGTCTAATACAGAGTAGGTGCTCAGTAAGCATTTGTGCTTAGATGAATGAATGAATGCTATGAGGAAGAAATTTCTTGGAATTTATTCTTCTCCCTTTTATGCAATTATTGTGACTATCTACTCATTTAAAAAAGCAATGAATATAGGTACACTGTTTCCATTTATTTTGGAATTGTGGTTGACAAAATATGAAAAACCTGATAATGTTTAAATCTGTATATTTTCTACTCACAAGCCTTCCAATTAATTCGGACTCCATTCAAATGTGTCTGTCTGCTATTATTCCTATCAATGTCTCAATTTCAATTGTTTCTTTTTTAGGTCTAATATGTCCATTTGAGATTTTTATTCATATATTCCAGACATCAGATGAAATTCTTCCTCTTTGATATTTTTTCCAAATTTATAAATCATGTTTCTTACAAAGTTCTTGTCTAACAAATCCAATATCTGAATTATTTGTAGATTTCTATGGCACATATTTTCCCTGGTATTAAGTTAGTAAGTCCTTTCTATATGTGCATTCCTTGTAATTTTACTTTGATGGACATTATAAAGGAAAAATTGAAAAGATCATAGTTAATTTTATCATCCCCTGGGGAGAGTTAACATTTCTGCCATGGAGAAAGACAAAATCACATATTCTCACTCACATTTTGGAGCTAAAACAGTAGATCTTATGGAGGTAAAGAGGAAGATTGTAGGGCCAGGCACAGTGGCTCATGCCTATAATCCTAGCACTCTGGGAGGCTGAGGCCAGCGGATAGCTCAAGGTCAGGAGTTCGAAACCAGCCTGAGCAAGAGCGAGACCCCGTCTCTACTAAAAATAGAAAGAAATTAATTGGCCAACTAAAAATATATAGAAAAAATTAGCCGGGCATGGTGGCGCATGCCTGTAGTCCCAGCTACACGGGAGGATGAGGCAGAAGGATTGTTTGAGCCCAGGAGTTTGAGGTTGTTGTGAGCTAGGCTGACACCAAGGCACTCTAGCCTGCGCAACAGAGTGCAGGCTCTGCCTCAAAAATAAATAAATAAATAAATAAATGAGTAGGATTGTCGATACCAGAGCCTGGGAAGGGAAAGGGGAGAAGAGGATAAAAAGAAGTTGGGTAAAGAGGTACAAAAAGACAGTTACATAGAAGGAATAAGTTCTAGTATTTATAGGACAGTAGGGAAACCATAGTTAACAATAATTTATTGTGTATCTAAACATTGCTAGAAGGAAAGAATTGGAATGTTCTGAACACAATAGAAAGAGACCCAATTACCCTGATTTAACCGTTACATATTGTATACATGTATCACAATAACATGTGTGCCCCCAAAATATGTACAACTACTATGTATCAGTAAATAACAGCAATTAAAACAAGAATCACATACACACAAAACAAAACACTTTAGATATGTAACTAGATGGCTAGAAGGATAAAGAAACACTTATATATATATAATTACTTATCAAATATAAAATTTTACATTAATTTGTCAGTATTCTGCTATTAAACTTGGAATTTGTCTTAATCATCGTGGATAATCTTTTTAACGTGCTGTTGAATTCACTTTGAGAGAATTTTGTTGAGGATTTTTGCATCTATGTTCATCAGGGATATTGGCCTGTGGTTTTCTGTTTTCTTTTCTTTCTTTCTTTCTTTTTTTTCATTCTTATGTCTTTGTTCAGGTTTGATATCAGGGTAATTCTGGCCTCGTAGGATGAATTTGGAAGTATTCCCTCCTCTTCAATTTTCCTGAATAGCTTGAGGAGAATTAATATTCTTTAAATATTTGGTAGAATTTAGCAGTGACCATTAGGTTCTAGGCTTTTCTTTGATAGGAGACTTTCAATACCAATTCAAATTTCCTCTCTATTCTGTTCAGACCTCCTATTTCCTCAGTATTCTACCTTGCAAGGTTGTATGCATCCAGGGGATTTATCCATTTCTTCCAGGTTATCCAATTTGTTGAGATATAATTATTCACAATACTGTCTTATTATCCATCTTATTTCTGTGATATCACTTGTAAAGTCTCCTTTTTTGAGTCTTCTTTTTTTTCTTGGTTAGTCTTGCTAAAGTTTTGTCAATTTTATTTACCTTTTCAAAAGACAAATTCTTCATTTTATTGATTTTTTTTTGTTTTTTTAGTCTCTATTTCATTTATTCCTGCTCTGATAATTACTATTTCTTTCCTTCTACTAATTTTGGATTTATTTTGTTCTTGTTTTTCTAGTGCCTACTTAGGTTGTTTATTTGAGATCCTTCCTCTTTTTTAACATAGCCACTGTTGCTATAAACTTCCCTTGCAGGACAGCTTTTGCTACATTCCATAAGTTTTGGTAAGTTATATTTTCATTTTCATTTGTCTCAAGATATTTTTTAAATTCTCTTTTGATTTCCTCATTGACCTGTTGATTTACAGGAGTATGTTGTTTAATTTCATGTCTTTGTGTAGTTTCCAAGTTCTGTGAGATAAAATAAAATCTTAAGTCTTGCCCCCTCTACCCAGCTGACTGAATAGACGCCCTCCTGGCCAACAGGATACCCCAAAACTGAGCAGTAGGCCAACAGAGCGAGGTCAGGCATGCCTCATCATGTCCCTCTCCCTTCTTGGAGACATCCTTTGTAACTCATTAACAGGCCCAAGGGTATGCAAGACAAACCTGCAGGTCCTAGATTTACACAACAAATGTATGTCTGGGTGACTTTTCTCTGATTAATAGACCTCATTATCTTAAAACATCCCAAGCCATTAGACAAAGCTTGATGTCTTTCACCAATCAAAAAATCTTTAAACCCACCTATAACCTGTAAGCCCCCACTTTGAAGTATCCCACCTTTTCAGGCCATACCAATGTATGCCTTCCATTTATTGCTTTATGACTTTACCTATAACCCCTATCACCTTGAAATGTATAAAACCCAAACTGTAACCCAAGCACAGTGAGTCCACTTGCTGAAGCCTTCTTGGGCATGGCTCTGGGTTATGGTTCTCAAATTTGGCTCAAAAGAAACCTCTTTAAATTATTTTACAGAGTTCGCCTTCTTTTCCATTGACAGTTCTTTTTGTTATTTATTTCTAGTTTTATACTATTTTGTTCAGAAAACATTCTTGAAATGATTTTGATCTTCTTAAATTTGTTAAGGCTTGTTTTGTGGCCTAAGATATGATTTATCCTCTAGAATGTTCCATGTGCTATTGAGAAGAATGTATATTCTGCAGCTATTGGGTGGAATGTGCTATAAAGATCTGACTTGGGAGGGTTGCAGGGGAAATAGGAAGAGATTGATAAACATGTATAAAGTTACAATTAAATAGGAGGAATAAGTTCTGGTATCCTATTGCATAGTTGGGTGACTATAGTTAACAATAATATATTACATATTTTAAAATAGCAAGAGGATTTTGAATGTTCTAACTACAAAGAAAGGATAAATGTTTGAGGTGATGGATATTCTTATTACCCTGATTTGGTCATTACTCAGCATATACATGTATTAAACATCAAATTGTATCCCATAAATATATATAATTATCATATGTATAATTTAAAAAATTTAAAAATCTTATTTAAGAAAAACTTGAAATTTATATCTGTTGGTTGTATTCACTCATGTCCTCCTCACACACACCACCCTCTTAATATTTAGGTGAATTTAAAGTAAGGTAAGAACTTGCTATTCCTTCTATGTAGCATCTTTATTTCTCATTCACTGTTAAAATAAAAGTAGCTCCTGAGGTCCAACCTTTATATGTGGTGTCTTCTTAAATATCCCACCTTTGGCAGGCTCTAGGCTTATCCTAGATCCCTGAATTCTATCAGATGAAAACCCCAAAATGTCTGGTGTTCAGCAGAAAAATCCCAAGGCAAAAACTAGCATTGGCTTTCAATTATTTCCCACTTAGGTGTTTGACTTGTGCTCCCTTAGTAATTTTTATAAACAGAAGGAATTTTAAAAAGTACTTAATCAGTGTCATAGTTGTTTTAGCCAGCTGAGTCATTGATATTCACCTACTTTACAACGCTTTTCAGCATATCACCAGCACATTACTTTGGCATAACAATTCTCTCAACCCATTGTTTTACTGTGTTGTACAGGAGGTGGCAGGCATGACTCTCAAATTTCTAAGAACCAATCAATTAACAGTGTTATTGTTGAAGACAATAAGGATACCTATGAAAGACCGAGATAAGGAAATATTCTAATTGTTCTGCATACAAGGAAGATAAAAGTGAAAAAATAGTGAAGGTGTGTGGTCTGAAAAGAAAAAATTTACTTGTGTTTTTCACTAACTGATAACAGGAAATGACTACTGGAGAAGTATTTCTACAAATTCTATAACTTGTCCAGTCTGAATTTACCCAGTTGCATACCCTCCTTGCACGTGAGACATCAAGGGCAGGAAAAACAATTCTCATTTATTTTTTGTATATTTGACACTATTCCAGGCAAGTGTGGTAAATCCCATGACTTGATTAAATGAATAAATAAATATTCCATACGACCCTCTTTCAGTCTATATCCTTAAGTCACATATGACCCTATATTGGTTTTTATCCTCTTTCAAATGCATTCTATGCTATCATAATTTTAACAGATCTCTGTACTGCCCCTTGAATCATTTCACATGTGTGTGCTATATTTCTTTTTAGTTAGAATGTAAGCAGTCTCATAGGAAGTGTCAACTAAACTGTAGAAGGAGTTACCAAATAAAATCCTCCTTTAGTCAATTAAAACACTGAGAATCTTCCACAGAGAAGGGGTTACTTAGACTGACCTCTATTGAAGAATGTGCTAATCATAAAGGCGAAGAGTATTGAGGCGATGATAAAACACAGGAAAAAGATGGCAGTGACTGTTGGGTCGCTGTGTTGGATGACTCTCTCCTGTGCAATCTAGCAAAACAATCAGGAAGCTAGTTTAGTCTCGTTCGAAGTGGTGCCACAGAAAAACAACGGAGGTGATGGAAAACATCAAATATTTGAGTGTCTCAAGTAAAACAGATCACACTGCTCAGTGAGATGCAAAGTGAACTAAATAACTCCTTTCTCCCAGAGAGCCACCAATCTAAGGCTATTCTTTTGTTTGCTGATAGATGAAGTGACTTCTGAATTTCCACAGTAGAATCAACATGAAACACATTTACTCTTTTGCAATATAAAATTCACTAAGCCCCCACGACATTTACTTTATCCCTCTCAAAGTTTAGCTGCAGTATGTTGCATTCAGGTAGATACTCGCCTTGAGAAATAAAGCCATGTGCAGTACAGAGGTGATACATATACACAGTAATAAGGCTGTAACAAAATATGTAGCCCAGAGCATCCAATTCTTGAGTCCTGCCACAAGTTGGTACTCCTGTGGGAGAGTTAACACAAATCAAATATCATGGGGAAAAAAATTGTTATTTTTGAAATGCATCCACAAGTATTATCTGATGTAATTCCCACAACAGTCTATGTAAGTTTAATATTATTATCCCCATTTTACATAGGAAGAAATCAAGGCTCAGAATAGTCAAGTAACCTCATCAAAGTCATCCACCTGGTCGGTGGCAGTACTGTGATTCCATCTCAAAATTTTGAATCCAGAATTCTTTTCTCCAATAATCCACCAGTTACAGTTTTGACACAAGAAAGATTTAAATAAAAATTTAAAATTCAAAAAGCAACATCACCTTTCTTTATATTATGTTCTACCTCCAGGAAGTAATAAGCTAGGAAGGTAAATAAGTTTTCATTAAATATAGGTTAGAACAGGGATAAGAAAACTATAGCCCATGAGCCAATCCAGCCTACCTCATACTTTTGTAAATAAAGCTTTCTTTTGTAAATAAAGCTTTATTGGCAACCAGCCATGCTCATTTGTTTCCATATTGTCTATGGCTGCTTTCATCCTATGGTTGATCTAAACCAAATCCTTATAATTTTACAGATCCAGAGAGTGTGAATCACTTCTACAAAGTTGCACAGCAGCAGAACTCCCTGTTGCCTGTTCTTCCTGCTCTATCATGCTGCCTCTGCATATTTCTGAGGCCACTTTTCCATGGTTACCTGCACAGTCTGGAGACAGACTCCTTAGGCTTAGGTTTAACAAAAGTTAATAAATCTAAAGGGAGAGAGAGACCGCAATACAATAATAGTAGGGAATTTCAACACCCCACTCTGAGTAATAGAGAGATAATGGAAACAGAAAATCAACAAAGAAACATTAGAGTTAAACTACATACTAGACTAAATAATATGATATTAAAGAACATTTCAGCCAACTGCTGCAGATAGCCTTTTCATAAGCACATGGAACATTCTCCAGAACAGACCATATTTTAGGCCCCAAAACAAGTCTCAACAAATGCAAAAAAGTTGAAACCAAATCAAGTATTTTTTCTGATCACAATGGAATAAAACTAGAAATCAATAACAACAGGAATCTTTTTTCCTCAAACTTCTTGATGTTGTTCCCTCATAGACTTTGCAGAACGCATGATGTCCATTAAAATTGGACATCCACAGACTGAAAAATTGAGCTTCAACTTAAACTTCAGACCTTATAAAAATCAACTCAAAGTGGATCATGAATCTAAAAGAAAAAAAAAAAACATGTAACCATAAATTTTTTGAGAAAATATTTGTGATCTAGGATTATGTAAAGAGATTTTTTAGAAACAACATGAAATGCGTGGTCCATTAAAGAAAAAACTTGATAAATTGGAATTAATCGAAATTATAAACATTTGCCCTGTAAAAGATACTGTTAAGAGAATGAAAAGACAAGGTATACATTGGATTTTAAAAATTTCAAATCATGTATCTGACAAAGCACTTGAACTCAGAATATATAAAGAATTCTCTAAACTCAGTAATAAGAAAACAATCTAATAAGGGACAAAAGACTTGAACAGACCTTTCACCAAAGAAGAGATATTAACTGCCAATAAGAACGTAAAATGATATTCAACATAATTAGCAACCAGAAAAATGCAAATTAAAGCTTGATGAGATACCACTACATGCTTTTAGAATGGCTAAAATAAAATAATACCAGGTGTTGACAAGGACGCTGAGCAACTGGATCTCTGACATTGTTGGCAGGAAATAAAAATGGTAAGACCATTCTAAAACACAGTTTGGTAGGTTCTTATAAAGTACACTTAACATGTGATCCAACAATCTCACCCTTGTTTATTCATCCTGGGAATATGAGCATACACAAAAAAACTTACATATATGTTCTTAACAGGCTTATTTGTATTAACCCAAAACTGGAAACAACCAAAATGTTCTACAGTGGGGGCATAGATAAACAAATTATAAAATATCCATACAGCAGAATACTGCTCAGCAGTTTTTAAAAGATACAAACCATTTGAATGGATCTCAGCTGCATTATGACAAGTGACATAAGCAAATGACAAAATGTTACATACTGTATGATTCCATTTAAACAACATTCTAGAAATGACAAAATTACACTAATAAAAGATTGATCAGAGGCTGCCAGGGAACAGATGTAACTAAAAAGAGGTAAAACAAATGATTTGGGGGAGTGATAAAGCTATACTGTACTAATTATGAAGGTGACTACATAAGTCTATAATTGTGACAAATTTACAGAACTGTGTGCCACTCTCTCTCCCCACCAACCCCAAAAAGTTGAGTGCATGTAAAAACTGATGAAATTCTAAAAAGGGCTGTAATGTGCTAAGTAGAATGTTATACTAGTGACAATTTGCCAGTTCTGATAGTTATGGGGTTATGTAAGATATTAACATTGGGGAAGGTTAAGTGAATGGTATGTGGGAATTCTCTGCATTATTTTAGCAATTTCAATGTGAGATTAAACTTATTTCAAAATAAAAAAAATTTTTAAAAAGAAAAACTAGAATGAAACCTAAATAGCCCCATATGTATTTGAGAAATTAACTTTGTATTTTAAAATCTTCCCACAAAGAAAACTTGTGGTCTACGTGGCTTCATTGATAAATTCTAAATTTATCATTGAAGACAAATATAATAGCACAATTTCTATAAAGACTCTTCCAGAAAACTGAAGGATAAAAAAAAAGCATAACCATGTGATCATTCCAATAAATGCATCAAAAGCACTTCACAACACCCAATATGTATTCCTGATAAAAATGCTAAATAAACCTTAGTTTATTCTGCTCTTAAGCAGAACCCAATAAAGGACATCTACCAAAAATTTACAGAAAATGTTATACTTAATGATAAAAGACTGAATGCTTTCCACCTAATATCAGGAACAAGCAAGGATGTCTGTTCATTTCACCTCTATTTAACATTGTACAGGGCATCTAATATGATAAATAGCTCCCCGAACACCTTAACAACAAAGAAAATCATTGAAAAGTGTGTGCAAAATTCCAAAATTTGAAGTTAATAATGCATGTATCCATTTCCACTGATCTTTACCTCCCAGGTATTTCTGAAACTTTTCCCTCTCTATTCCCATATACTAAACCACCTTAGCTCAAGCCCTCTCTGCTTTTCTTCTGGTCTGTGATTATTGCCCATGATTGGTTCCTCACCTTTAGTCTTGCCTTCATTGTCAAACTTTGTCAACAAACTATGGCCTGAGGGCCAAATCCAGCCCACAGACTATCTTTGTGTGTTCTGCAAGCTAAGAATGGTTTTTACATTTTTAAATAGTTAAAAAAAAAAAAAACCAACAGAAAAAATATTGAACAGAGAAGTATGTGGCTCACAAGACTTAAAATACTATCTTGTGCTTTCCAAAAGAAGCCTGTCAATCCTTGATCTAAGCCATCCTCCATATCCCTTTTCAGAGCCATTTTTCTGAAGGCAACACTGACAGGAAGGAGGCCTAGCCTACTCCCCACCCCCAGTGCTATCTGCCCGGTGAACTCCTATTTATCCTTCATTGCTTAGAACAAGCATCAGCCCTCCTCTGTATGTCAAGAACAACTTTTGCACCCCTTAGGGTACTTATCTATTATAAATTAACTCATTTGACTATTATCTCAATTAAACCTTTAACAATCTGTGAGTAGGAATTCTGTCTTCTCTACCATTTGTTGAATGCTTACAACAGGTTAGAGATGGATCTACATACTTTTAAAAATAATATCTCATTTAATTCCTCCATATAACCCTAAAAAGTAGGCATTATTATCTTCAACTTATATCTGAGGAAACAGGCTATGATCAAAGAGTTAAACATTTGTGAAGCCAGGATTTGAACCTAAGAACTATCAGAATCCCTGGAACAAACTAGGTAATTAATAAATAAATGTTGCACAAATTAATGGTGACCCAGAGGAATCAATGGCTTTCTCTCTGACTGTACAGCCACCATTCTTTATAATGTAGTACTGATTTGACTTAATATTGAAAGTCATCTCAAATGAGATTTGAAGGAATAAAACTTGGCAAAGATTCACAGAATCATAGAATGTTGGAATTGAACTATAGCTTAAATCCATCTAATTTAAGATCTCATGTGATTATGTCTTTGTTGCTAATTTTATTCCTAAGAACACTCAGGGCATTTAATATTTGACCTCTTTCCACAGTGTTTTTGTCAAATAGTCATTTAGTCAATAAAACTATAAGCCATTCAGTCCAATCAACTGTGTAAAAAAGAAAAAATAAAACCTACAAGCCAAATAAAAAATTGAGATAAAAACAAAACATCAGGCCAGATGAGGTGGCTCACAACTATAATCCTAGCCCTCTGGGAGGCCAAGGCAGGAGGATTGCTCGAGGTCAGGAGTTCGAAACCAACCTGAGCAGGAGTGAGATCCCTTCTCTACTAAAAATAGAAGCATATTAATTGGCCAACTAAAAATATACAGAAAAAATTAGCTGGGCATGGTGGCACATGGCTGTAGTCCCAACTACTCGGGAGGCTAAGGCAGGAGGATTGTTTAAGCCCAGGAGTTTGAGGTTGCAGTGAGCTAAACTGATGCCACAGCACTCTAGCCTGGGCAACAAAGCGAGACTCTGTCTAAAAAAACAAAACAAAACAAATAAACAAAAAAATCAGAAGATGATGTAGTGCACACTCTAGCCAGTCCATGTTTGTATATTGCTACTGCAACATAACTATTCACCAGTGCCAAAAGTGTGGGAATAATCCAACCTTCCACACAAATCTGTCCCATAGGCCCATAATGTTAAAAAGGAAATAAGTTACCTTTAATCCCCTTTCTTTTTCTAATGTGATGATCCTGATGAGGGTAAGTTCATTTTGAGAAAATGCAAGTAAAACCATCATGGATAGGATATTCAAAATTAACCACATATGATTATCATGATAATAAGCAGGGTATGGAAATCTCTGAGCCAAAATGCTGGCATTATTAAACATCCTTTCTGCATCTCTGCCATTGTGATATATCATGATGGCCTTATCTAAGGAATGCTGTATAACCAGGAACCCTTCTTTGATGTAACCTAAATGGGAAAAGAGATTGTAAAGATTATTTTACTGAGAAACAGCCAGGCAAACAAAGGAGACAATCCAGGTAATTTAAAGCTTTTATCTCAGAGAACAAAACAATTTCACCAACACTGCCTGTGATTTGTGATAAAACATATAATAAATATACAAACTAAAATATGACATGAAAGTGATACCATTTGCTTTATATAACTTTATCAGCCAAATTAAATGAGAATTCAAGAAAATATTAAACTGACCAATTGCTATAGCTTGAATGTATCTGTCTCTCAAGAATTTATATGTTGGAAACTAATACCCAGTGTCATAGTGTTAAGAGGTGGGGCCTTTTGGGAAGTGATTAAGTCATGACCACCAAACCCTCACGAATAGGATTAATATTCTTATAAGAGTTGAAGGGAGCGTCCAAGTCTCTTTTCTTTTTTCCCCTTTTGCCATGAGAGGACACAGTGTTAGTCACCTCCAGAGGACAAAGCAATGGATGCCATCTTATAAGCAGAGAGAAAGCCCTTACCAGACACTGAATCTGCCAGCATCTTGATCTTGGACTTACCAGCCTCCAAACTATGAGAAATAAATTCCTATCACTTTTAAATTACCCAGTCTGTGGTATGTTGTTATAGCAGCCCAGAATGGACTCAAACACCTCTACACATTGGACATATGGAATAAAAATGAATTCTAAAACAAGCACATTTACAATAGCACTAAAAAGCACTAAAAACAATCACATTGTGATTGCACTAAAAACAATAGCACCAAAAAAGAATAAAATACTTAGGGATAAACTTAACCAAGGAGATGAAAGGCCTATATGTATCCAGCCCACAAATGGATGACTGCAGCTCAGCTTCTCATGCTCCAGGAGCTGGTACAGGTGGCAGTGGGTTTCCTATGGAGGCAACTCAGCATTCATAACATGGCAACTGAACCTTCTGCTCCCAGGAGGAGAATGTATTTTGAAATTGGGAAGAGTGATAATTCTGGGATATTCCACATCTTGTCGGCTTTAACCTTCTACAGACACAGGGCCTTCTCTGTGAGGAGGGACCTCACTGGTGTGTGTGCTGCGGGTGTGGGGTGGGGGAGGGTTGCTCTCCCAATCAGCTGAAATGTGGTGGGCATGCACCAGGAATACATGCAGGATTGTGCCCTGCACACAAACACCTGTGAGAACAGAACAGGGACTATAACAGTGGGAAACATATTCTCCAGGAGGAGGTAACCAAAAGCCTTGGCTCTACAAAAGGATTCTGGGTATAACAATCTTAGCAGAGCCTTCAGGTGACTCAGGTTCCATAAAATCCTGCCCTTACTTGCCACTCGCCACATCTCCAAATCAGAAGAGCCAGCCCTTTGCTACCTAGGGTACCTCACCAGCAAGTAAATGCTACAGGACCTCAGAAGCCTGTGATGCTAAGGATAAAGACTCTAGTCAGAGAATGTGCTCAGTCCCCACGGTGGGGTTCTGGGACACATGTGGGCCTGCTCAATACAGTCCCCAATCCCTGGGAAGTGGCTATCTGTGAGAGGTAAAGGTGCGAGTGGCTTAGGCATGTTGACTTCCCCTGAGAAAGACAGGTCCTCTCATATCTGCAGTGGCCATGTGCATCAGAGAGTAGCATGGCTGCACATGTGAGAACTGAATACACCCAAGCAATGTCCATATGAATCCCTTCCCCATTCCATGCCAAACAGTCTTCCTCAGACAGAAAGATTCAGGGTCCTGAGGCTTGTCTCTTCTAAAGCTCAAAATGGGTTCTGTTATAAGATTTGATTGGCTTTGCTTGTTTTAAGGACTTGAGTTCAGCCCAATCCTCAACCCTCCAAAAAACTGGCACAGGTTGGGGACTTTATTATTCTTCTTTTTCTTTTTCTTTAATTTCAGAATACAGGCGTACAAATTATTTGGTTACATAAATTGCTTTGGTACCATGCCCATACCCCAGATAGTGTGCATTGTACCCATTAGGTGTGATTTTACCCATTCCCTCCTCCCCATTTCCACCTGCTTGACACCCAATGAATGTTATTTCCATATATGCACATAGGTGTTGACCAATTAGTTTCAATTTAATGGAGTACATGTGGTGTTTGTTTTTCCATTCTTATGATACTTCACTTGGAAGAATAGTCTCCAGCTCCACCCAGGTTAATATAAGAGGTATTAGTTTACCATTTTTTATGGCCAAGTAGTACTCCAGGGTATGCATTTTATTAATCCACACATATATTGATAGACACTTGGGTTGTTTCCACATCTTTGCAATTGTGAATTGTGCTGCTATATGCATTCAAGGGCAGGTGTCTCTTTTACAGAATGTCTTTTTTTCCTTTAAGTAAATACCCAGTAATGGAACTTCTGGATCAAATGATAACTCTACTTTTAGTTCTTTGAGGAATCTCTATACTACTTTCCTAGAGGTTGAACTAGTTTGCAGTCCCACCAGCAGTGCATGAGTGTTCCTATTTCTCCACATCCATGCCAACATTTATTGTTTTGGGACTTTTTCATAAAAGCCATTCTCACCGGAGTTAGGTGATATCTCATTGTGGTTTTGATTTGCATTGCCCTGATCACTAGAGATGTTGAGCATTTTTTTTTTTTTCATGTTTTCAGGCTGGGGACTTTAATGTTGAGATCACCAATACTGATGTTCCAAGGAATCTCAGGCAGATTGTTGTTGTTTCATAGCAGATACAACCCACGCAGGGGCTGCTGAAAGGCCATCCTTGGATTTCTCTGACCTGTTTTAAGCTTCACTCTGAGCCATGATTTCATGCATGTTGGTTTCCAACACCATCCCACCCATCACCACTTCCTAGAAGATGTAGTGCACCTTATCCACATGGAAGATCAAATCCTATTCACGCACACTTTTGAAACACTTATCCAGAGTCTCCACAAAAACCCGGATGATGTCCATGATCCCAGCTTCACTCTCTGATGAATCCACAAAAAACACAAAGTAGAGGGTAGCCTAGTGTTGGTAAATCAGTTTGTAGTTAGAGCCACCAATCAAGCTTCCACCCTCAAAGAAGTTACAAATGTTGTCATTCCACTTGAAAACTAGATGGAAAGTCTCTAGAATGATCTGCTGTTGAATATCTTCTGGGAAATGCTGGTGGAAGTGGACCAGCCATGGCTATTCACATGGTCGCTGAAAACGAGAATTGCCTGAATCATCTTTGCCAATCACACTTCACTCAGTACTGGCTGTTCCCAGAAGGCATGTGCAGTAATATATGGAAACATAAAAGAACTCATACTTTTCTGAGAGAAACCCTTTTAATGTGAGAAAGGTAGTAAAGGATTAAAATTTCCTAGTGCTTTTAAGGACATAAAATGATTGACAATGGAGAAATACCCTTTGACTATAGGGTGTAAGACATGTGATAAAGCCTTCAGTTCTTCCACTTATTTTTGAAAACATGGAAGATCTCACAGTAGAGAAAAGTATAACATGTGGTAAGGCCTTCAGCTGTTCCAGTTCCAACTGAAGTCATGAAAGAACTCATTTCTGAGAAAAGCTCTATAAATATACAGACTGTTAGAACACTGTTTCTCTCACATACAGCCAAAAATACAGGGTAACATACATTGGAGATGGACCTTATAAACAAAAGAATGCACACTGGATTGAAACTCTAGTTTGCACAATACAGGAAAGTTTTCAGTTTTAACCATTTCAAAAGTTATGTTAATACTCCCATGGGAAAGAAATCTTATACATATAAGTAACTCGGAAAGCCTGATACAAACAAATTCATTATGGTACAATGCTCAACAAAATGGACATGACTGAAATGTTATACAAGATAAAAAAACACTGCTAAAAGAAATTTTAAAAGATACAAATAAATAGAAACACATCCTATATTTGGGGATTGAAAGACTTAATTATTAAGTCCATACTGCCCAAAGAGACTGACAGATTCAGTGAAATCCCTAAGAAAATTCCAATGGCATTTTTTTTTTGCAAAAATAGAAAATAACATCCTAAAATACATGTGGAAGCTCAAAGAACCCTAAGTAGCCAAAACAATCTTGAGAAAGAACAAAGCTGGAGGCTTCATACTTTCTGATTTCAAAACATATTACAGAGATACTTTAACCAAAAAGAGTATGGTACTGGCATAAAGTAAGGCATATAGATCAATGGAACAGAATAGAGAGCCCAAAATAAACCCTCACATATAAGGCCATATGATCAAGAAAGGTGCCAAAACTACACAATGGAGAAAGGATAGTCTCTTCTATAAGTGGTATTGGGAAAACTGGATATCCACATGCAAAAAAATGAAATTGGATCCTTACCTCATACCATATACAAAAATTAAATCAAAAGGAATTAAAGCCCTAAACATAAGACCAAAAAATGAAAAAAAAAAAAAAACTCTTAGAAGAAAATATAGAAGAAAAACTTTATGACATAGGATTTGGCAATGATTTCTTGCATATGACAGCAAAAACACAGGCAACAAAAGAAAAAATCGACAAATGGACTACATCAAACTTAAAAACTTCTGTGTAGCAAAGGAAACAATCAACAGAGTAAAAGGGCAGCTTATGGATTTGAAAGAAAATATTTCCATATCATATATCTGATAATGGGTTAATATCCAGAATATATAAAGAACTCCTACAACTCAACAATCAAAACACAAATACTCATTAAAAAACAGACACAGGACTTGAACAGACATTTCTCCAAAGAAAATATACAAGTGGCCGACAAGCATGGTGCTCAATATCACTAATCATCAGGTAAATGAAAATCAAAACTAAAATGAGATGTTACCTCACACCCATTAAATAACAAATGTTGGTAAGGATGTGGAGAAACTGATCCCTTGTGCACTACTGATAGGAATGTACAATTGTGTGGCTATTATGGAAAACATGATAGAGGTTCCTCAAAATATTAAAAATAGAATTACATAGAATCCAGCTATTCCACTTCCTGATATATATCTAGAATAATTTAAAAGGATCTCAAAGAGATATTTCATATCCATGTTCACTGTACCATTATTCACAGTAAAGAGGTGGAAGTAACCTAAATGTCCATCAAAGAATAAATGGATAAACAAAATGTGGTATAAACACACACACACACACATATATATATTTTAATTACCATTGCATAATTAAAAGTCATTAATCAACTCAAAAGAATAATATGGAACCATAAGTATACAGGCCATGTTAATATAGGAAAATGTAAGCCAGAGAAGCCAAAATTTACCAACTAAGATTATATAAATGCATGGCTATATAAAGTACAGCATATTATTTAAAATAGTATAAAGATGCTTTTCCAATATATAAGGTTTTCTACATGATTGTTTTTAAAATAAAAATTAAATTAAAAAATTTGCTGCCACAGTGAATGAACAACTGTCTTATATGTTGAAAAAAAACTGAGGTATACATGTAATGACAGCTAGCATGCAACAAAAATAACAATATAAGTATGCTTAAGGATCTGCTCACCAGGATGTCCCCCATCTGCTTCATCTGGGTTTCTGGGTCCTAGAGTAGGTACTCTTGGAAAGAGAATAGATGTATGCCACTCTGTCTTTCTTTGGAATAATTTATATGGATGATTAGAGGGATCACTAAAATTACTAAAACGCAGGCGATATTTTACCTAGAATGAACAATAGAAAACAAATATTTTAAACTAATGAACATTGAAAAGCAAATATTAGCAGTGAAAATAAAATGAAATACAAATTTTAAAATTGTGTATTGAGGACAGAGTGAGCAACTCAGGGTTCTAAATGCTGAGAAACTATGATGTAACTGTCACAAGGGACAAGTAGTAAACCTCCATGTGATATAATCACAGTCAAAATTTGAAAGTGGCTGAACTTATATCTGTCTTCTTTCATCTTATGGCATTTTGCTTCTGAATTTCAAAGACACAACAGTATAATTTGAGTATATTTTTCTAGACCCATAATTGCCCTGCCTACTGAGGGAAAGAAACATCAAAAAGTCTATTAAGGTGAGATCAGCAAGATGGCAGAGTAAGAGACCCTAGACTTCACTACCTCCCAGAGCAAGCTCAATTAGCTATGATCCACAGATAAGCATACCTGAATGAAAACCCCCAAACTTGGGAATAAGTCTTAGTCACCTGCATGGGTCCACAGAACTGAATAAAAAGTACATTAAAAGGGTAAGAGAAACAGTCTTACTTTTATTGCATTGCCCTCCCCTCCTGCAAGTCAGCACAGCTCCACACAGGGAGGACCTCCCCCCCAACCAGGGCTCACAATTTCTACAGTAAGGAAAGAGAACCAAAGGCAGACATCCAGCTTTCCTAGCATCCAAGATGCTTCTAGGAAGCACACTCAAGTCTCACCTCACAGATCACATAAGGAAAAATGGCATAGCTAGACCACTTGGGGTCAAAAAGAAACAAAGCAAGGATATAGAGGCCATAGTGACCAGCACGCAGATTTGGTGGTAACTCTGTATACCTGCCAGCAGTAGCGCTTGATCAGAGGCACCAGTTAACAACACAGCCCATTCACAAAGCTGAGCTGGTTGCTCCCAGAAATGGTGGAAAGTTCTACCTGGCTTGAATGTCAAGACAGTCAGCCTCCAAGACCAGCCTCAGACTCTGCCATGGGTCCTATCCAAAGACAGACAGATCTGCCATGCCTAAGGAATTTAATCAGTGCTTGGTTTCATCTCAGAGCCTACCCCTAGACTCCATCCATGAAGGGAAAGGACTGCACAGCAAATTTTAGTAAAGAGTAGTTGCTATACTTGCCACACACAGGAGTTTAATTAGTGTTCAACCCAGCCTCAAAGCCCATCTTAAGGCCCCACTGAGGTCGGGAGGCAAATGCCAACCACATATTTCAACTGAGCATAGCAGCTACTCCTGTTCATTCCAATCAGTGTCTCTACCTAACCTTGAGGCCCCTCCTGCAACAGGGTCTGAATGCTGAACTCAAATAGCAGTACTCTCTGGCCAGGGAACACACCCTATAGCCAAGCCAAATAATAGGCAATTGTCGTGCCTACCCAGCAGCTCAGCCTGATTGCAGAGCTCATGCAGTGGTCTTCCTGGACGGCAGAGCCCAGCAAGGTGGCCAACCTGAATTCAGAGCAAAGGCAGCAGCCCCAGCCATTTGGAAAACAAGAAAGCAAGCCCTGCCTGTGCAGGGACTTTACAAACTGCCTATCCAGAATTACATGCTAGAATAAATAGTAAAGTCCTATCCCTGCTAAAGAACACCTGTAAAAGCTAGAAAAGGTGGGCTGTTTCCTCAAGTGTGCAGACATCAATGCAAGGTCACAAAGATTACAAAGACTCAGGAAATCATGACACTTCTAAAAGAAACTAGTAGAAATCGAACAAAGCACCCTACAGAAAGGGAGATCTACGAAATAACAGAAAAACTATTCAGAATAAGCCTCTTAAAGAAGTTCAGGGAACTACATGAATATATGGATACAAATTAAATTTATAACACAATATAAAATGATACATTAACAAAATGAGAGGTTTGACAAAGAAATAAAAACAATAATAAAATAGAAATCCTAGACATGAAGAATACAATGACTAACCTGAAAACTACAATAGAAAGCTTTAATAGCAGTTTCAATCAAGCAGAAAAAAGAGTAAACGAACTCAAAGACAGAACATTTGAACTTATCCAGAAGAGCAAAAAGTAAAAAGAATAAAAAAGAATGAAGAAATTCTGTAGGAATTATGGGAAACTATCGAGAGAAATCACTTATACGTAATAGGAATTTATAAAAGAGAAAAAGGGCCAGAAATATATAATGGATGAAAACTTCCCTAGTTTGGAGAAAGCAGCCAACATTCAGGTATAGGAAGTGTGCAGGACTCCAGCCAAATTCAATTCAAAAAGAGGAGTTCATTACAAAACACTGAGGAAAGAAATCACAGAGGATGTAAACAAATGGAAAAACATATCATGCTCATATGCGCATGGATCAGCAGAGTCAACATTGTCTATACTACCCAAACTGATTTACAGATTCAATGTGATCCCCATTAAAGTACCAAAATAATTTTGTGCAGATCTAGAAAGAATAAATCTACACTTGATTTTTGTGAGAGGTGAGAGGCACAGATCCTGTTTTTGTCTTCTACATGTGGCTATCCAATTTTCACAGCACCAGTTATTGAATAAAGGAGGCACATGTGGAAAGAGTGAGGAGGAAATGGGATAGAAAGAACACTTATTGCCTTGCTAGTTATTTTCATTTCTCTCCAATTTCATTGTCAAACATTTGTATCCTAAAGGCAGGATTTGGCTCTATGTATAGATATTATAATTTGATCATTTCCCTCAACAGTGGGCAGTACATCTATAAGATCTGGTAAAGAGACACACCAACTTACCAAATTCAAAGCACTGTTCTTTTCTATCCTCCACAATCTTTTTAAGTGTCTGTAGATGTTCTAATTCTGATGCAACACGGCTGAGCCAAATAGGCGTTCCCAGAGATTTAGGGGAGAAATTAAGTAATTCACTCGAAAGAAAGAAGCTTTTCATATAGGAATCTCTGCTAGTGCATGTGTATCTGCTTTTACCCCAAATCTTTTGTATGTGGCTATATTCTTATTTACTTAAGCACCATATGCAGGGATCAAAGCATCGTCCTGGTCAGGTAGATTGGCAAAGTTAATAGCCTTACTAGTTAAAGTTCCTGTTGAGATAGGGACTCAGCCGGCACTGTGTGATAAGATGAGTTTTCTTCTCATCTATGTAAGGTAATGGTTAAAAGCACAGGTATCAAAATTAGTTGGGGATGGATTTAAATTCTTGCTGTTATAAACTAGCAGTTATAAGCTTGGGCAAGTTACAATTTTTCCCATTTATAAAATGGGGATGTTACCAATATCTCATTAAATCTCTGAAATCTAAAAATAAAATGATCAGATCTTTAGATAAAACTTTCTTACCTTCAGCGGCAATCTATCATTGCTGTTTTTGAAGTTATGATCAAAAACAATAGCAGCCAGCACATGAACATTCTTATATTTGTACTTAATGTACTTCTCAAAAGCTTCTTCTGATGAAAAGCCTCGAACTGTAGAGAAATAATTTAGGTAAATTATCTGCATAAATGTGAAATGTCTAATAATCATTGATATCTGTATTATAAATACCATAATCTTGAGATATTATAAATTTCAAAACATTATTACTTAAAAATTGACATCACAAACCATGTAATAGATATTTGGGGTACATAAAAATTCTGAAGTGTACAATAAAAGCTACATCACATTATGAATATCTAATTATTACCATAATTGTATATTGAGATAAATAGAACAGGGGAAATTTCAACTGTGTTTTGAAATCTAGTGATTTTTTGAAAAGAGTATTTTAAGATAATTGACAAGTGACAAATTGATCTCTATGGAAAATATGAGTTTAGAAAATAAACTGAAGTTATACAATAAAAAATATTGTACATTCATATCTACTTTTCTCATTCACGAATTAATCTCTATGAAATTTAGAAATACACACTCACAAAAACATTTTCACACACACATACAGATAAATAACTAAAATTTTTCCTTAGGAATTAAAATATTTATAACATAAATAGGATATTAAAGTCTTTGACAGCCACTATATAAAGTAACATAAATAATTATTGAGAGAAATAAATATAATTTTTAAAAATGAAATGAGGTACCATATTCAAGGGTTTAAAGAAATCCATCCTGTAAAGGCATCTTTGCTATAAAAAGTGACATATAGGGTTGCATTGATAATACAATCCTAATAAAAATCTAAACAGAATTTTTATGTGAATTTACAAGCTGATTCTAAAATTTATACAGAAATAAAATAGGTGAAGAACAACCATGACAACTAAACTTCCTTTATAGGCTTACCAGAATATGATAAAACTATAGTAGTTAAGACAGCATCAGAACAACAGAACGATATACAAATGGACCAATTTATCATAATAGACAGCCCATAAATACTTATGAATATATGAACCATTGATTTGTGATAAAATGGTAAGACAGAATAATGGTCTTTTCCATAAACAGTAATAAGTCAAATAAATATCCATATGGGAATAAATGAAACCTCACAACATTAGGAAAATCAATTTCTTCTCAGCTATAGATTGCATGATAAAATGATAATTCATAGTAGTAGGAAGTGATAGTTTCCATAAACAGTAATAGGTCAAATGCATATCAATGTGAAAATAAATGAAACCTCACACTATTTAAGAAAATCAATTCCTGGTGAATTGTAGATATGTATGTACAACATAATACAAAAAAATCCCCCTTCAACATAATGGAGAATGATTCTGGAATTGGGAAAGTTATTTAAAAAGAACACAAAGCACAATGAACATAATAGAAGAGATTGGGCCGGGTGCGGTGGTCACGCCTGTAATCCTAGCTCTCTGGGAGGCTGAGGCAGGCAGATTGCTTGAGGTCAGGAGTTTGAGACCAGCCTGAGCAAGAGCGAGACCCCGTCTCTACTATAAATAGAAATTAATTGGCCAATTAATATATATATAGAAAAAATTAGCCAGGCATGGTGGTGCATGCCTGTAGTCCCAGCTACTTGGGAGGCTGAGGCAGGAGGATTGCTTGAGCCCAGGAGTTTGAGGTTACTGTGAGCTAGGCTGATGCCACGGCACTCACTCTAGCCTAGGCAACAAAGTGAGACTCTGTCTCAAAAAAAAAAAAGAAGAGATTGATAAATTAGGCTTTATTTAAATTAAGAACAACTCTACTCCAAAATATACCACCAAGGCAAGACACAAACGACACAAACTGGAGAGCTGATATGCAATACCTGTAATCAACAACTAAATATAAAAATAATTGCTACATACAAATCAACAAGAAAAAAATTGCCAACTCAATAGAAAAATGAACAAAATATTTGAATAGGCTTGTCACAGAACAACAAGAAAAAATATCTAAATGGCCAATAATAATATGAAACTGTACAATGAGATTAGTAATCAGGGAAAAGCAAATTAAAACTATGATTCCACTGCACACTTCTCAAAATGGCTAAATTTTAAAAGTTATATATTTCATTCACTAAATTAAAAATATTAGTTAGAATTTTCCTTTTTCTGTAGAAACATATGACCTTTCACCAATATTTTAAATGATTAATGCTGTTTTCTCTCTCTCTGCCTCTTAATAGAATCTAGTGAACTGGTTCGACCATATTTATAACTGATGTTATAAAGGCAGGAGTTTTCTTCCAGTTCCAAACACAAAGGACCTGAGCTAAAACAAACTCCATCTGCTTCAAACTAATAAAAATGCTGGATACAATTTAATACAATACATAATAATAAAAACAAAGCCAAGGTGGTCAGAGCAAGATGCTGGACCAGAGACACCACCAGCCAGAGGTCTCTGTGAGAAAGAGTCATTTTAAATAAAATAGAAAAAACAGACAGACAGACAAAGATCAGATGTGGGTCTGAAGGAAGGGTGCCTAAACCTGCAGAACATTCCACAGGAAGAGATTGCAGCGCAGAACCGGAAGGAGAAAGGCATCAGCAGGGATTAAACCCCGAGAGGCTTGGAGACCAGCAAGAAAGGTAGATGGTGCAGTTAAAATCCCTCTCCCATACATGTTGGACCATTGGGGTGGGCACCTGAGCTGCTGGAGAAACCTTCTGCGGACATAAGCCAAGAGACTGCTGCCACCAGTGAGCTTCGTGTGGACAGGACACTAGGCTCCCAGGCCCCCTGGAGCACCTCCCACCCAACAGACCACAGCCAACCAGTGGGCACTATATTGCTTCTCTCCCAACTGGTTGCCTTTGTCATCCTCAGGGGGCCTGAACCCCTCAGGTTCCATCTTACTCATCCCCACACCGTCATTTCCCATCTCCGGCCCAGACTGCAGGAATCACAGGGTCTAGCGGGTCCCTGGCAACCTGCATGGCTCCATAGCCGGGTCATTCTCAGAGGTAGGATCAGAGATGACAAGAGCGTGGACTTTCCTCCACCTAGACGCTTATCCTCCCCTTCCCCTCCCCCACCTCCTGAGAGAGACAATTGACCTTTTTCTTTTCTTACTGCTTTTGATTTAAAGTCTGTTTTATCATAAAAGTATAGCTACTCCTGTTCATTTTTGTTTTCCGTTAGCATGGAATACTTTTTCCACACCTTTACTTCCAGTCTATATGTGTCTTTACAGCCTTTACAGCAAGGTGAGTTTCATTTAAGTAGCTTACAGTTGGATTATGTCTTTATATTCATTCTGCCAATACCTGTACCTTTTCAGTGGAACATTTAATTCACTTACATGCAAGGTTAATATTAATATCTGAGGCTTTGTTCCTGTCACATTATTGTTTTCTAGCTGATTTATAAATTCTTAGTTTCTTCCTTTTTGTCTTTTTATCTCTGTGTTCAATGAAATTCTGTCATGCTGCCATTTAATTCCTTTATCTTCCTCCTTCATGCGATTGTTTTATAAGACTTATGAGTTTTATATTTCCATCTGTTTTCATAATAATGAATATGAACCTTTTGTTTCCATGCTAAAGACTTCTTTGAGTGTTTACTGTAGACCCATCATGGTGGTGACAAATTCCCTCAGTGTTTGATTGTCTGAGAAAGACTACGTATGTCTCCTTCATTTATGAAATTAATTCTGGAAGAATGTAAAATTCTTGGCTGAGAGGTTTTTATTTATTATTATTATTTCAGTACTTTGATAATGCCATCCCATTCTCTTCTGGCCTGTAAGGTTTCTGCAGAGAAGTCTGCTGTTTGTGTGATTTGAGTTTCCTTTGTAGGTAACTAGGCACTTTTCTCTTGCTAATTTTAAAATTCTCTCTTTCATTTTGACTTTAGTCATTCTGATTATAAAATGCCATGGTGAATTATTTTTTGCAATGTATTTTCCTGGGGATTGCCTAGCCTCCTGTATCTAGATGTCTAACTCTCTTGCTAGATGGGAAGTTTTCATTGATTATTTCCTTAAATAGGTTTTCTAAACTTTTTGTATCTCCTTCCCCTCAGTAATACTGATAATTCATAGGTCTGGTCACTTTATGTAGTCTCAGATGTCTAGAAGGCTTTGTTGATTCTTTTTTATTCTTGTGTATGTGTGTGTGAATGGATTATTTCAAAAGGCTTGTTATCAAGTTCTAAGATTTTTTGTTCTGTTTGGTCTAGTCTATTATTAAAGGTTTTGAATGTATTTTGTATTTCTTCCAATGAATTTTTCAGTTACAGAATTTCTGTTGGTATTTTAATTAAGATATCTTATCTCCTTGGTAAATTTCTCATTCATATCCTGAATTGATTTTCTGATTTCTCCACATTAGTTTTCAGGTTTTTCTAATGTGAAATGATGTTAAATCTTGTGTGATGTGTGTATATGTGGCTGGATTATTTCAAAAGACCTGTCACCAAGTTCTGAGGTTCTTTCTTCTGCTTGGTCTAGCAGTAGCAGTGCTGGAGCAACCCACTGGCAACCAAACAGTCCATTTGGGTGGTGTTGGTAGCTTTGTGATGGGCTAGTGAGCTACCCCCCAAGACCCACAGCTGCCCACAACAGGGCTGTGGATATCGTCCTAGGGGTTTGGGGGAGTGCCAGTCTTCCCTCTCCCTCCTTAGCATGGAGGCAGTTGCAGCAACATCAGCCCATGCCTGGCCCAAGGGCAGGGTGCAGCCCAGTGTTAAGCTCTCAAAAAGGTGCCAGCTGTGGGCCCACAACCAGAGAGGACAGGGTCCCTCCCAGGCAAGCAGCATGGGCAAGAAGCTGTTGGGAGTGTGGTCTGCTGACAGCTTGGTCTCACAGCAGCCCTTAGCAGGGCAGTGGGTATTAATCTAGGTGTGCACAGGGAAGTTTGGTTTCCATGTCCCTCCTCAGCCAGGTCCTGCAGCCACATCAGCCAAAACTGAGCCCAGGGGTTGGGTGAAGCCCACTGCTAAACTCTCAAAATTGGGCCATGAGCCTGCACCCAGAGTGGGTGGGGCACCTTCCAGACAAGCAGCATGGCCAAGAAGCTGTGGGGAACGCCATATGCTCACGTCCTAGTCTCACAGCAGCCTGTTGCATGGTGGTGGGTATTGTCCTAGGTATCCATAATAGAGCCTGATTTCCCTGTCCCTCCTCAGCTAGAGGACAACTGTAGCCACAGCAGCCTAAATTTGGCTTGGGGGCAGGGTGCAGCCCAGCATTAAACTCTCAAAATCGTGCCTTGGGCCTGTGAGCAGAGAGGATGAGGAGCCTCCCCGACAAGCACTGAGGGCCAGAAGCTGTGGGAAATGTGGTCCACTCATGTCTCAGTCTCAATAGCAGCCTAAGACAGGGCGGTGGGGACCTTCCCGGGGGCATGGCAGCACCTGACCTCCCCTCTACCTCCTTGGAGCAGCACAGTGGCAGCAGCCGCGTCAGTAGATCCCAGTATCTAGGCACTCAGAACCGCAACCAGCTGAAGCTGCTCTAGGCTCACATGTCCTAGGATTCCACGTGGGTCCCCTTTCTGGAGCAACGACCATGCACGATCTCTCACAAGCTCCCTGTTACAGGCTCAAGTGCCGCACGGGTTGAGGGGCTCTCCCAGAGCCAGAGACCATAAAAACTCACTTCAGATTGTGGGGCCCCATGGGGTTTTGTCTTACTGTTTCCTTGCATCTAGGAGTTCTCCTGCCTTTCAGCCAGGCACCAGCCAGGCAAGCTGCCTCGAACCCTCACCTTACTTACTTTTGATACTTCCTGTCACTTTTCTGGTGACTCTTAGTGCTCTCTCTCAGATGATCTGTTCAAAATGTGTCTACTTACTATTCTGGTTCCTCTCTGTGGAGGAGGCACACACTACCTATATCTAGTTAGCCATTTTGATCCCTCCCTCCAAATTCCTGACAGTGTTTTTAGCTGCAAGAGAGAAAGAGGAGAAATTGGGGGTAGAGTAAGGAGAGGGGTAAGGAGATAAAGCATTTTTTCGGAATACTTCTACATTTTTTAATCTTCTTTTCAAATGTATTCATATATATCACACTTAAGTAATATCTTTATAAAATGTTGAAAATTAATGACCTCAAGTCCAATTTATGCACCCAGGAAAAAAATACCTGATTCATCCAGACACTTGGTATCCCCTTGGCACACTATTAGGTACTTTACTCTAGTTGAAGTTGCATAATCCAAGACAAAGAAGATTGAGAATTAGAAAATTGGATAGTAACTCAATCATTGAATTTTAAATATTATATTTCAATAAGGATTATACCACAAATATATTTTAAATTACTTGAAAAAATCCATAATGTATATTTAGGAGATTAATGCCTAAATTATGAAAGTCACTGAAGTATGGCTCTTCTAAAAAAAGTTAATAATAGAGTCTACAGAAAGATTTTAGATATTAAAGGTTTGTTTTCTAACCTTTAAAATTGGCATTTAAATCCCTTTTTACCATCTCAGTAATATTTTTTGCCACATCACTTTCAGAAGGCACATAAACCAACTCATATACAACTGACGTATTAATGAGGAAAGCAGGTAGTGTCAAAGGAAGAGGATCAAAAGTGGAAGCATGACGAAATTCCTTTTTAATTACTCTACGTCCTATCAAAAGCAATGCCGAAACTACAAATACCAGGCCAATATCCACAAGTAAACCCGCTGTATTCCGCCTCTGCAAGAGAAAAAAAAGGATTGTGTTAATTTACCTAAGAGAGTGTGTGTATATGTACATGTGTACTTATACTCCTGTGTGCACAAACACACACAATATAAACTGACATTACTCTGCTTCATTTTATAAGAGTGGTCCCCTAGCTTGTCTTTCTCACCCTTTTCTACATTTCATTACTCATTCTATTAATTCACCCTATCAATATTCTTCAGATTTAGTGCTACCCTCAGCCTTGAAAAAAAATACCATAAAGTAAAATGAAGGAGCTTTTTAATAATTCCCTATTGGCTTCATTAGCCTTTATAATCATTTCCCACAGATACCTCAACCTACCTTTAAAAGAAGATTTTTCCAGATGAGGACTACAAATTGCCTGAACCACAACGAATCCATTTTATCACAAAGAATGGAAGTTTAACTCTTCAAAAGGAAGTAAAGATGAAAAATAATTTAGGTCACCTGCCAAAATATTAAATTTGGATAAGTAAAAGGATTACTTCATTGTTCTACTCTTTTCTTCCATCAAACTTAAAAGATAATTACAAAAAAAAAAACTTGAAATAAGGATTTACCTGCTCATATATATTTTTTATATTAATTCATTAAATTCACATCCAATGGGCTTCTACTATGTATAAAAACATTAGGCAGTAGAGATGCAAAGAGCAATACATTGTTGCTCCACTTTCACAAAGAAAGATCTAAAGTATAATTGAAGAATATCAATTATTTGGATGGGCTCTGACAGAAACTCTGTTACAAATTACAATGCTGAATATTTACTAACTTACTTAATGCCATATTCTGTGCTAAACATTAGGTCAATTCAAAACAGTCATGATCCTTTCCTCATTGCTGCGGATAGTATGAAACAGTAATTAAAAACCCAGGATATGAACACAGGCTGTCTAAATTCAAATCCTAACTCTTTAACAAGCTGTATAATTTTTAGAGAAATAGTTAACCTATGGCTGTTTATTTTCTGTAAAATTGGTAAAGTTTATATAGCACTTACCTTATAGGTTTTTTTCCCCCAGGGATCATGTGCTGCTATGGAGGGAGTGGCTGAAAGGCTTTGCATCAATCAGTTTTTATAAGTGTGATAAAATATACATAAAATTTGCCATTTTAACTATTTTTAAGTGTACAGGTCAGTGGCATCAATCACATTCATATTGTTGTGCAACCAGCACCATCACCCACAATTTTTTTCATCTTCCCAAACTAAAACTCTGTACCAATTTAACAATATCCACCCGTTCCTCCTCCCACCGTGCCTTCTGGCAACCGCCATCTTACTTTCTGTCTCTGAATGTGGCTACTCCAGGCACCTCATATATAGGTGGAATCATACAGCATTTGCCCTTTTGTGACTGGCTTATTTCACTTAGTATAAAATGTCTTCAAGGTTCATCCACGTCATAGCATGTGTCAGCATTTCCTTTCCATACACCATTTTAACAAGCTCATAGAGCTGTCAAAATCAAGATGGAAGTTCAAAATATATCAAGGTGAGAGAGAAGATGCTATGTATTGCACTAGGACTAAAATGTGCTGCATCCTTTGAGCGAACCGGAAAGAGTAAACAGGTAATGCAACAAGAGAGAACACCAGAATTGAAGTCCTTCTGAACTTGAAGGAGCAAGCAATCAAGGAAGTGAGTGATTTCTGACCATGAGACCAAAAAGAGAAGCACCTTGGAGAACCTAAAAGTACTGGAGAGACAGAGGAGCAGGAGGAGCTCAGCCTTGACTTGAGCATAAATCGATCTCATCCTAATTAACAAGGCAAACACTTTAATTACTGAGCAAGTAAACTTCTGCCCAGATCCCAGAAGGATCTAGATAGAAAGCAAAGTCTTTAAAAACCGAACTGACACCACAAAGGTGAGTTAGAACTTGTGGCTTTAAACTCATAAAGTAGTGTTGCCAGATAATACATCAGAGGGCCAGTTAAATTTCCAATAAAAAATGAATACTTTTGTTTGTGACATATTTATACTGAAATATAATTCATTATATGAAATTCAAATTTAACTAGGTATTTTGTATTTTATTTTCTAAATCTGGCAACCCTGTAATCAGGTCAATTTCCTGCTAAAAACAAAAGTATCAACATTCTCCATAGGATTTTAAACAAGACCCAGAATCTCATAACTTAATGCACACAATGTCCAGAATACCATCCAATATTATTTGGCATATAAGAAATCACAAAATCTCAGCTTGCATAGGAAAAGACAATCAATAGATACTAATGATGTTATGACACAGATGTTGGAATTATCTGTAAAAGATTTTAAAGCAGCTACTACGAAAATGCTCAAAAGAACAATCACAAATAGTTTTGAAACAAAATTTAAAATAGAAAGTATCAGCAAAGAAATAGAAATAAAAATCTAATGAAAATTCTAGAATAACCAAAAAAAGAAACCAACTCACAAGATGGACTCACTAGCAGAATTCAGATAACAGAGGAAAGAGTCAGTGAATGGGAAGGCAGATCAATATAAATTACCAAATATAAACAAAATGGGTGATAGGGGGAAGATGGTGAAAAATGAACAGAGCCTCAGGAATATGTAAGATAACAAAAATTCTAGCATTCAGGTCATTAGAATCCAAGAAAAGAGGAGTAAGAGTGTAATGCTGAAAAAATATTTTAAGAAATAATAACTGAAACCTTCCCAAATGCTGTAAGAGACACAGATACAAGAAGTTGAGCAAACTCCAAACAAAAATAACCCCAAAGAAATTTATGTCTAGACACACCATAATCAAACCAATAAAAACTACAAACAAAACTCTTGAAAAAAAGCCAGAGTAAAACAACACATTATCTATAAGGAAAACAAGATTTGAAAAACAGCAGAGTTGTCATCAGAAACCAGGGAGGCCAGAAGGAAGTGACATTTTCTAAAGTGTTGAAAGAAAAGAATTATTAACCCAGAATTGAATATTCAGCAAAGAAATCCTTCAGAAATGAAGATTTGAAATAACATTCACAGACTAAGGAAAACTAAGAGACTTCATAGACAGCAGGTCTATGAATTATAAGAAGTTCTTCAGAGAGAAGAGAAATGATACTGGAAGAAAACTTGGAACATCAGGAATGAGGAAAGAACAACAGAAGTAAACATCTAGGTAAGCAGTCAAGCATAACAGACTGCTCTTATCTTCCTGAGTTCTTTACAATATTTTGATGGTTGAAAGCAAAGAGTATAACACGGTCTGATGAAGTTTTCAACAAATGAAGATATAATATATGAGACAACTACAGTCTAAAAGCACCTATATGTTGATAAAATTTCTATATTCCAATTGAAGTGATAAAATATTGATTCTAAATAGACTGAAGCAAGTGAAAATTGTATTTTGTAATCTCTAGTGCAGCAACTAAAAAATTACACAAAATCATAATGGATAAATTACAATAGAAAAGATACTAGATAGTAAATCAAATAAAGATAGAGAAATAAAGAATATTGGCAAAGGTTATATATGTAAATAAAAAAGTAGTAATGGTCTGTAGCTCACTTTTCCTATATTATTTAAAAGACTATATAAAAATTATAAATCCATGCAGATTTGGCAAACAATATATAAAGATGTAATTTGTGAGAATAACAACATAGAGGAGGAAGAGAGGTAGGCAGAAGCCAAGTTTTTGTATATTATAGAAATTAATTTGGGGTTAATTCAAACAAGATTATTATAAAGTATTAATTATAATTCACAAGGCAATCACTAAGAAAATTAGTAAAAATATATTGCCTAAGAAACAAGAAGGGATATTTCAATTGCATCAGTTTAAAAAAAAAAAAAAAAAAAACAAGAAGGGAATAAAAATTGTAGCCTAGAAAATACCTATCTTACAAAAAAGGAAAACTATAATAGAGAAATTGAGTAACAAAAACAATATAAGACATAAAGAAAACAAATAGCAAAATGATAGAAGTCTTTCCTTATCAATAATTATTTAAATATAAATAAATTACTGCCCCAATTAAAGAGAAATTGGCAGAATGGATTTTAAAAAGTATGATCCAACCATTTGCTATCTACAAGAGACTCAATTTAAATCTAAAGGCACAAATAAATTAAAATACACACACATATATATATTCAATGCAAACAGTAACCAAAAAAGAGCTGGACATTAGTCAGACAAAATAATTTAAGATAAAATCTATTACAAGAAACAACGAAAGATATTATATACTGATAAATGGGTCAAATCATCAAGAAGATATAACAATTTTTTATTCCCCACCAATACAGTCCCAAAATATATGAAGCAAAAACTGACAGAATAAAGGGAGAAATCAACATTTCAACAATAATAGTTGGAGATGTCAATACCCTACTTTCAATAATAGATGAACAACTAAAGAGAAGATCAACAATGAAAATATAAGATTACAAACAATACAATAAGCCACCAGACCTGACAGATATATATAAAATACTCTACCCAAAATAACAGAACATGCATTTTTTTTCTCAAGTGCACATGTGGCATATGTTAGGGCACAGAACGAATCTCAATAAATTTAAAAAGACAGAAATAATACAAAGACTCTTATATGACTATAATGGAACAAAGTTAGAAATAAGCAGCAGAAGGAAATCTGGAAAATTCACAAGTATGTATAAATTAAACAATACAAGTTTAAGCAAGAAATGAGTCAAAGAAGAAATCATAAAGGAAATTAGAAATACTTTGAGATAAAGGAAAGCAAAAATACAACATACCAAAACTTATGGGATACAGTAACAGCAGGTCAGCTGTAAACTCTTATTATAAAAACTATTTCAAATCAATAATATAGCCTTCTACCTTAAAGAACTAGAAAAAGAAGAGCAAACTACACCCAGAGCTAGTAAGCAGAAGGCAGGGAATTACAAAGATTAAAACAGACAAAAGAAATAAACAATATAAAAACAATAGACCAAGGAAAGCATATGATCCCTTTAAAAGATCAACAAAAGTTACAGACTTTTATCTTGATTGACCAAGATAAGAAGAGCAAAGACATAAATTATTAAAATCAGGAAACAAAAAGGAGACACTACTACCAACCTTACAGAAAGAAAAAGGATTATAAGCGAATACTATGAAAAATTGTAGGCCAACAGATTTGATAACCTAGATGAAATGGACAAATTCCTGGAAGTATACATACTACCAAACTAACTCAAGAACAAGTAGAATATCTAAATAGAGACCTATAATAAGAGATTGAATCAGTAATCAAAAACCTCCTAGCCAAAAATAGCTGGGATCAAATGGCTTCAATGGTAAATTCTACCAAACATCGAAAGAATAATTTACACCAGTCCTTGTGTTTGATTTTCCAAACAACAACCAATTCTCCAATTCTCTGACTCCAGCTGAATTCATTCTGGCACTAATTATCTGGCGTTAGCACAGATCCCACAGGTTAAAGGCCTAGTGTCCCACAAGATTGACCCTACTTCAAATATAGCTACATCCCTCAGTCGTTGCTTATTTGTATAAAAAAAATAAAAAAAAAAAACAAATATAGCTACAAATGTGGTCCACAGGGAACCTGCACTTCTGCCTTGCTAACTACAAATTACAGGGTTACCACGAACCCTCCTCTGCTTTGAGAATGCAATAAAACAACTCACAGAACTGAGGAAAGTGCAATACTTGCAATTACAGTTTATCACAAATGAACAACCAAGGGAAGAGATATACAGGACACAGAGCTTCCATGCCTTCTCTGGTGTGCCACCCTTGCAGCACATTGTTGTGTTCATCTACCCAGAAGCTCTCCAAATCACACTGTCCAAGAGTTTTTATCGAGCCTTTATTATGTAACCATGATTGGTTAAATCAGTAACCATTGGTGGCAATTCAATCTCCAGTCTTTTCCCTTCCTGGAGATCAGGGGTGGTCTCAGGGCTGTAAGTTTCAACCCTTATCACCTGGTTGATTCCTCTGGCAATCAGCTCCCATCTGGAAGCTGTCTAGGGTCTGCCAAGAGTCACCAAGAGTCACCTCATTAGTATAAATTCAGGTGTGGTCAAAATAGGCTAGTTTTGAATAACAAAAGACACTCCCCCCATTCCAGAAATCCTAAGGGTTTGGGGAGCTCTGTTTCAGGAACAATGGACAAAAAAACCCAAACATATATATTTTTATTATATCATACCATCTCAAAGTCTATCAAAAAATATAAAAGGAGGGAACGGCTGGGTGTGGTGGCTCATGCCTGTAATCCTAGCACTCTGGGAGGCTGAGGTGGGTGGATTGCTCGAGGTCGTGAGTTTGAAACTAGCCTGAGTGAGACCCCGTCTCTACTAAAAATAGAAAGAAATTAATGGACCAACTAAAAATATATATACAAAAAATTAGCCGGGTATGGTGGCACATGCCTGTAGTACCAGCTACTCGGAAGGCTGAGGCAGAAGGATCGCTTGAGCCCAGGAGATTGAGGTTGCTGTGAGCTAGGCTGATGGCACCGCACTCACTCTAGCCTGGGTAACAAAGTGAGACTCTGTCTCAAAAAAAAAAAAAAAAGGAGGGAACGCTTCCTAACTTAATCTAGACCTGAACCACCTTTACATCAAAGCCAAAGAAAGTCATCACAGGAAAAGAACTACAGACCAATATCCTTTATGAATATAAATGCAAAACCTCAATAAAATAATAGCTAACTAAATCCACCAGAATATTAAAAGTATTGAGAAAAGAAAAGAACTTTTATTCAAAAAGTGTGAGTCAGATTCTAGGCCCAAAGAGATATTAAAATGAGACAGCAATCACATCCTACTTCTCCCTTTAGCTATATAGTAATGTCTTGAAACTGCTTGCTATTGCCACAAGTAGCTACAAATTAACTTAATAGTGCTGCACCACACTATAACCTACACCCTAGAGCTTAAAAATGGATAGCCAATCACTAATCAATGTTATTTCTTAAACAAAGGAGAATTACTGGCAAACAACTTTGTATCAGGCCACAGCCTGTCCTTTTTTCTTTAAAAATCCACTTGTAACTGCTGCTAATCAGAATGTGAATTCAGGACAACTGACAACTTGAATCTACGCTCCCAACTTGCAATCCTCCCTAGTTGCAATAAACTCTACTGACATTAATTTTGCCACAGCTTCTTCCTTTTAGGTCAGCAGGATTATACTGCATGACCAAGTGGAATTTCTTTCAGGAATGCAAGACTGATTCAAGACATGAAAATCAATCATGGCCAGGTGCAAGTGGCTCATGCCTATAATCTCATCCTATGTTCACACATTGAAATACCAGCATTTTGGGGGACCAAAGCAAAAGTATTGCTTGAGGCCAGGAGTTCAAGACCAGGCTGGGCAACATGGTGAGACCCCCCTGTGTCTACAAAAAAAAAAAAAAAAAAAAATTAGCCAGGCCTGGTAGTATTTGCCTGTAGTCCTACCTACTATGGAAGCTGAGGTGGGAGGATTCAAGATTACAGTGAGCTATGACAGTGACAATTTGCTCCAGCCTGGGAGACAGAGTGAGACCCTAAATGGAAGGAAGGAAGGAAGGAAGGAAGGAAGGAAGGAAGGAAGGAAGGAAGGAAGGAAGGAAAAAAGGAAATCAATACAGTTTAACATACATATTAATTAAGGGAAAAAAACCAACATGATGCCTAGCAAAGTAGACAATCAGTTGAATTAATATGAAAAAAAATCAGAAAATTTTAAAATGTCAGAATTATACTCTTGAATCACAGCTTGGAATCCATGCTTCTCCAACCCTGAGAGATTCAGTTGCTGAATTGTTTGATTTTGTGAAAGTGGTTCGTCCCTCCTGGACATGTGGGATGTTGTAATTGACTTTTATAGATGTGCTCCTAGACATTTAGGTACTTAATACAGTTTCTCTAACTCCCAGCTCTTTTAAATACATGTGGGCAGCTTGCTTTACAAAAGAGTTTTCTATTGTGGAAAAAAAAACCAACATGATGATCTCAATTGATGCAGAAAAAGCATTTGACAAAATCCAATACCTTTTCATGATAAAAACACTAAACAAACTAGGAATAGAAGGGTACTTTCTCAACATGATAAAGGGCATCTATGAAAAACTCACAAATAACATTGTACTCAATAGTGAAAGACTGAAAGATATCCTCCTAAAATCAGAAACAAGGGTGTCTAGTCTCACTTCTATTCAATATTGTACTAGAAGTCCCAGTCAGAACAATTAGAAAAAAAAAAATAATAAAGTCACCCAAATTGTAACGCAAGAAGCAAAACTATCTCTATTGCAGATGACAAAATCTTATATATACAAAATCCTAAAGAACCCACAAAGGAGCTACAAGAGCTAATAAATTCAGCAAAGTTTCAGGAAATAAGGTCAAGAAATAAAAATTAGTTATATTTCTAATCACTAGCAATGAACAAACTTTAAAGAAAATTAGGAAAACAATTCCACTTACAGTAGCATCAAAAAGAGTATAAGACCTTAGGGATAAATTTAAGGAGCTACAATACTTCTGCACTAAAAAATATGAAACACTATTTAAAAGAAAGTAACAAAGACCTAAATAAATGTAAAGGCATCCCATGTTCACAGACTGAAAGACCTAATATTGTTAAGACAGCAATATTCTCCAAATTGATCTATGGAGTCGAGCAATCCTTTTCTTTTTTTTTTGCAGAAATGGATATATTGATCCTAAAATTCATGTGGAATTATAAGGAACATTGAATAACCAAACAATCTTGAAAAAGAAGAGAAAGTTGGAGGTCTCACACTTCCCAATCTCAACACCTTCTACAAAGTGACAGTAATCAAAACAATATGGTACTGATATAAGCACAGACATATAAATCAATAGAATAGAATCGAGAGTCCAGAAATAAACTCATACAGCTATGACCAGTTGACTTTTGACAGGGGTGCCATGCTCATTCAATAAGAAAAGTGTTTTAAACAACTAAATAGCCATATGCAAAAAAATGAAGTTGAACTCCTACTTCACACCATATACAAAAATTAACTCAAAATGAATCAATGATCCAAATGTAACAGCTAAAACAAACTCTTGGAAGAAAACATATGTGTAAATCTTCAGGATCTGAATTTAGTAATGCATTCTTAGATATAAAACCAAAAGAAAATTTAGATAACATGGGATTCATAATAAAAAACAAGTACACTATCAAGGCAATGAAAATATAACCCATAGAATGGAATAAAGTTTTCGCAAATCATATATCTGATAAGCATTTTATATCCTGAATAGATAAAGCACTCTTACAACTCAACAACAAAATGGCAACACAATTAAATAATGGGCAAAAGAATCGAAATAGATATTTCTCCAAAGAAATTATACAAATGGCCAATAAGCACATGAAAAGATGCTCAACATCACTAGTTATCAGGGAAATGCAAATTAAAAACCCAATGTGATACTATTTCGCATCCCACTACGATGGCTGTAATAAAAAACAAAAACAAAATATTTTTTGTTGTTTGAAAATAGCGATTAGCAAGATTGTGGTAAACCAGAACTCTCACACACTGATAGTGTGAATGTAAAATGGTGCGGCCCACATGGAAAACATTTTGGCAGTTCCTCAAAAAGTTAAAGATAGAATTACTATATGACCCTCCAGTTCTACTCCTAGTTATGTACCCAAGAAAACAGGAAACATATCTCCATACAAAAACATGTACTACAAATGTTCATTGTAGCATTATTCACAACAGCTAAAACGTAGAAACTCAAAAGTTCAACAACTGATGAATAGATAAACAAAATAAGATATACCTATACAGGTGAATATTATTTGGCTTTATAAAGGAATGAGGTACTGGTACATGCTACAATAAGCAGGCACCTTGAAAACATCATGCTAAGTAAAAAAGCCGGACACAAAAGGACACACATTATATGCTTCTATTTACATGAAATGTCCAGAACTCACAAATACAGGGACGCAGAAAGCGGTTGCCAAGGGCAGAGAGGAGACAGCAACGGAGAGTGAGCACAGGGGGGTGATGAAAAAGTTCTGGGATTAGGCAATGGCGGGGGCTGCACGACACTGTGAATTTAGTAAAAGCCACTGAACTGTACACTTCGACGGGGCAAAAATGGTGAAACTTTATGTGATTTGAATTTCCCCCCCGTTTTTCACAAAAGGAAAACTCTACAAGATGGATGTGATCGCCACGCCACTGACGAGAATCAAGTCACGTGCCTCAAACCAGATTAGAACCAAAATTGACTACACCTCCCAAACTCTCCCATCTAAGCACTAAACTACAAAAAAAAAAAAAAAGTTAAAATTCAGCCCTCAGTCTCTACCGGGTGGGGTTCTGTGTCTTTGTTTGGAAGGGCGCTGGGCCGGGACACTCACGGCTCAGTGCTGGCAACCGCCACCGCCTCCGCCGCTCGGGGGCGCCGCCGCCTCCCAACGCCCCAACCTCCCTCCGCGCAGCCGCCCGCGGGCGGGTTGCGGCTCCGGCCTCGCGCGCACGCGCACCCCGCGGGGGTGGCGTGGGAAGTGGGGAACTTCGGCCCGGCGGGGTGGAGGGGAGTGAGGGGGGCCCGCGAGCACCGCCCCCGTCCCCTACACCCCCGGACCTCACCCTCGCCCTCCACCCCCAGCCCACCCTTCTCAGGCTTCCCAAATATTTCACCGCTTGCTCCTCACCCCAGGCGCACCGCACAGTCCCCCACCTCCAGAATGACAGAGACTGGGAGTAAGGACAGGGAGACGCTCGCCTTGACCGCGGCAGCATTTACGGGGAAGCCAACTGAGCAGTGAAGATAAACACTTTAATACAATATTTTTTTTTTAGTTTTTAAAGAAAAACTTAAACATAAAAGCACATGAGGAGCTATGTTGGAGTCTAAAGCAAAAGGAAAAAATCTGTAATCCTGACTCTGTATTTAAATTTTTTAGACTCTGTCTATTGAAGATTTTTTGCGTTAATTTTAATTATTTTTAAATATTGCATTGGGCTCTGAATAGGTTCCATAAATTTTGTGTGTAGGTGTGTACCTCAGTCACCTACTTGCCTCACCATGGTAACAGCTCCGCCTTGTGGTCACCTTCAGTGTGCTGGTGGCAGAAGTCTAGGAAGGTGCAAGTGACCATCTCCTCCCTAGGGGCCGTTAGGGGTTTTTAGGAACTTCTGGTAGCTCAGGCACAAGGTCTCAAGGGAGGGCAGGGAAAGGACAGTCACACCAGCTCCCTAGATAGTGGCCCCATGTTACTGGTAAGTTTATTAATATTCTTTCTGAGTCATTACTACTAATAGTAATTCAATTACTTTAATAATAAAGTAAGACACTTCAATAATACCACAAATATTAATTAATGTACTACTTATTAATAGTACTTATTATTGGAGTCTTTGGACAATTCTCTGGTCTAAACAGAACTAATTCAACCCAGATCAACTTTCTCAGTGCCACTTTACTGAGGACCTGGGTGATGTTAACCAAAGCTTTATGAGCAAGATGATTTGAGGTGATTTACAGACTTGTCCTGTTTCTACAAGATTCACTGGAAGCAAATACTGGAGCTTTCTATTTAACCAGGGCTGAATTCCTTAATTTACAATGGAAGCAAATAAATATGTCTTTCCTATTTCATATCTCTCTTTTAGTTAATGAGTATTTGATTTTGCCTTTTTTTCCTCAAGAACAATTGATTTTCTGTTGATCTGTTGATTTTCTTTATTTCCTCTGTGTTTTTGAAGCCCAAAAAAAACTGTTATGTGATAATTATAATAATAAATAATGGTTCATAAATATTTCTGTAACCCCAGCAACCCTGGGCATAAATTTCTAGGGATCGTGAACCGAAGAAACAGAATTGTGCAATTGAAATCAGCTTTTCCCAACCATCAATGTCTTCCTTCTTTTTTGATAATATGTGGATATTATGTGGCTACTCTGTACCAAGCACTGTCTACATGCATTACATAGAATTTATTTCATTGGTACATATTTTGACATTTGTTCATCCACTGTCTTTTATGATTTTGTGACCATTTCCTATGAAATGTGACCATTTCCTAAATCCCAACCCAAATACCAGTGGAGCACAACTTAGGCAGTTCCCACCTCTTGAGCTATCCTCCCAGGCTCCACTCTTGCTCATCTGTTTCATCCTACACATTGGCACAAGACCCATCTTTTCAAATGTTTAGTCTCTTTGAGAATGTAATTTACTTCCTAAAAATCACCATTCCTAGCCGCCTGACGCCAAGATCCACTCCCCATTTTATCTCCTGATGCTCCCAGACACCAGCCTCTTGTTCCAGTCCAACTCATCTGGCAATTCACTGTTCCCAAGAACCGGACAACACTCCTTCCACCCTAGGGCTTCACCTGACCTGAAATGGCCTCTACCTCCCCTTCTGCCAACATAGCTTAATGTTAGGAGTGTAGTGGTGGAGTCTGACTCCAAGGGGAAAAGCTCACCTCCCCCACCTGCGTGCTAGGTGACCTCTGGCTAAAGCCCTTCTCCTCTCAGAGCCACAGATGGACAGTGGCTATTATAATAACAATACTTCTCTACCTAAGAGGTTCTTCTATAATTAAATGAGATCTTGTCCATAAAGTGCATGGTGCAGTCCCTGGCACACAGTAAAGATTAATAACCTGTTGTTATTTTCAGTGTTGTCATTATTACTATTTCAGACCTTGGTTTCATGAAACCCTTCTCTAACCACTCCAGGTCAAAATAATCTCTTTCCCCTCCCCCGCCCCCCTTTTCTGCTCTTTAGTTTTTTTCTTTGAATTGCTGAAAGCACTTACTTTCCCTACCACTGATTTGGCACAGGATGTACTTCCTTAACCCTTACGTTGTTACCTTCCTGTGGATACACTGTCTTATTTCCCCAACTCAAGTGAAAGCTCCTTGAAGAAGAGCCCCTGCATCTTGGCTCTTTGTATGATGGAAGCCATTACACCTTGCCCTGAGAACTCCCCACCCACCCCCTTTTAAAGGTGAAGGTTAGGTAGGTTAGTTAGCCTGCGAGAAAACTGTGCAGTTAGAGCAATCAACAGCCGGGGATCTGGCGGTCAGGGTGGGAGGGAGAGTAGCCTAAGAGACTCCAGATGGGGACAGATTGAAACGAAAAAAACAATTTTTTTTAATAACCCTCTGTCTCCTTTCATCTATTTCCGAGTGTAGGCAATAATTTAAGAAATAAAGGAGCTCCATATTGTCTGCCCTATCTCCCCTCTTATTTCCCAGGCTGGGCGACCGAGACAGTAGCAAATAGCGGAGTTGGTGGGGAGGAGGGGACATAGAGTGACAAAGCCCCCTACCAACGTGTCTTGCAAAGGAATGTGGCCACAGCTGATTACAGGACTTGAGAAGGTGGACCCAAGAATTCTAACTCCCATCCTGTCGCCTCGACGCCAATCGTGGGGAATCCTCCGCTGGAGGGGACCCATCTCGCCCACCCTTAGGAGTTGGGGTGGCGAAGGAGGAGGACTAGACAGGCCTGGGGGGCGGGGCGGCGTGGCTCCGCCCCCGGAGCCGGGCGGTGACCGGCAGGTGGCACCGCTGCGCGGCGGGGCGCTCATACAGGGCGCAGCGGCGGAACGCGGATCGCGGTGGTGTCTGGACTGAGCGTAGCGGGCAGGCGGGCAGGCGGCGAGATGAGCCGGGCGCCCGCGTTCCTGAGCGCGGCCGAGGTGCAGGACCACCTCGGCAGCTCCAGCCTCCTCATCCCGCCTCTGGAGACCGCCCTGGCCAACTTCTCCAGCGGCCCCGACGGAGGGGTCACGCAGCCCGTGCGCACCGTGGTGCCGGTGGCCAAACACAGGGGGTGAGTGGGAAAGGCCGGGGCCAGGGGCAGGAGACGCTGGAGAGGAGGAGGAGGGGAGCAGGAAGGGAAGCGGAGGGAGAAGGGAAGAGACAGCTTGCTTAATCATTGCTAATAACAGCTGCCACTTAATATGCGCTACCCACTGTGTGCTAAGTGGGCGCTTTACCAGTGTAACAGACACACCGTCCACTTAGGTAGGCATTGACGCCACCATTTTACTAGTGGGAAACTGAGACTTGGAAAGGTTAAGTGACTTAGCCAATGTTACACAGCTAGTAAGTGGCAGAGCTGGGATGGTGTTTGATCCGGGGCCAGGCTCTTGAACATGCTATGCATGCTGTCTGCGGAAAGGGCAGAGGAACAGGAGAGGGCTGGTGGGGCAGAGATGCCGGAAAGGGAAAGGAAGGTATAAGGGACTCTATAGGAGACCCCAGCGTTGATGGGAAGGGGTTGAAGCTGCTCCCTTTCTCCTTGTAGCTTCCTTGGGGTCATGCCCGCCTACAGTGCAGCAGAGGATGCCCTGACCACCAAGTTGGTCACCTTCTACGAAGGCCACAGCACCATCTCCACCATGCCCTCCCACCAGGCTACTGTGCTGCTCTTTGAGCCAAGCAATGGCACCCTGCTGGCGGTGAGCATCTATCTATCATGGGGTGGAGTGGGACTCGGGTCCAGAGCTAGGCTCAGGAGTCAGTTCTGCAAGAGCAGGGGGAGTTTTGATTGTGACCACATGTGCCCTACAAGTGGCTGGACACCAGGGGACAGGGAGGGTTATCTGTAACCGTGAATCTGTTTCTAGGACTGCCTGAGGATGCATAAAGTACATGCAGCATCAGCATGTACTGCTGCTTCAAGCATGGACATGTCATTCTTGTATATGTCCTTGTTGTATACTCAGTCACCCCATACTCAGCTTGAACTCAACCAGTGCTGAGGAATCAGTTACCTACTGAATCCTTGTCAATATGAGAAACAAAGGGTGTTCTGTGATCCCTGGGAGTCTTTTCTGAAAGGTACACAATGACCTGTTTTAACATCTAAACATAGTATCAAAAAGTAGCAGTAGCTCACATTTACTGAGAACTTTTTGTGTGGGGGGTACTGTTCTAAACACTTCATGTTTTAGATACTCTTAATACTTAAAACCACTCTGTGAGGTGGGTAAATTATTACTGCCACTTTACAAATGAGGAAACTGAGTCATAGAGCAACTATGCTGAACTTGTCCAAGTTTATGTAGCTAATAAGTAGCACAGCTGAACTTCAAAGCTGCTCAGTTTAAGTCCACGACCTATGCTCCCTTAAGACAACACTTCACTGCCCTTGTAACTGCTACTTATTGGGCACCTATTATGTGCCAAGCAGGAGATACTGATCACATTCCATTCTGACAAGTTCCTCTGTGGGTGTTTCTGTTACCTCCCCTTCCCCCCAATTTCTGTGAAGGTCCCTGAGGCTCAGATTAGTAGAGCCGCTTTGCTTGAGGTCACACAAAAACTCAGGAATCGCTCCTACTTTTGTCTGACTGTGGGATTTATACTCTTAACTCTTGTAGTCTGTGTGCTCCAACAAGCTGGCTCCTAGACTATCCTTACTTCCCCCCAAATGTCTGGCTCATCAAGGAATATTGCTGTTCATGACTCCTCTAAGAAAAGTATCTAGGTCTTCCGAGCGTATGCTCATCCAACGAAGCTGGCATCCTTACTACCCACCAACAGTGGTTACCTGGGAAAGCAGGACCTGGTGCTTTGAAACTAGACGACAGCTGACT